CAGTAGGGTGAGTCAATCAAGTCAACAGCAGTGACACAGATTTCTCTAGACTGTACAATCAAAACAAAATCCTCAAATAAAACTGGATGCTGACATTTAGACAGTTCAAAACTAACTCATCTGTGTTAAGTCAGATAATGACTGGAACTTAGACGAATCGGTCTAATTATCTCTATGTTTGGAAAGGTTAAGGACACAGAACACTAGATTACACTATCAAAACCTGATTTTGGTTAAGAGAAGGCTCATAATTTAAACCTGTTGAGAGCAACGACTGCTCGTAAGATTGCTGGATTGGCTGAGAGCGAGCCAGGATAAAATAGCTGGGTAGGGTTTTTCCCTGCAAGGTTGACAGAAAACAGGTGGTTCGTACTGGAGGTTGAGTTCACCCAGAGGCACACAGGAAGAAAGGCCTGATCACCTTCCTTAAAAATTAGGCAGTGAGAACCCAGCTCTGACACACATGGAGTCACTGTGAACCATTGGACTTGGCAGTAACTTGGTTTGTTTCACGAACTCCAAGGAACCTGGGGGTAGAAGAAAGTGCATTGGGAGAGAAGGGGGCCTGGAGATTGTGTCTTGTTTAGATTTTGCTATTAGTTCATTGAGTAAATCTGTTCTCTTCCCTGAATCAGTGTCCTCAATAAAAAAAGGATAAAAAGGATTAACTCAATTTTTGGAGACTTATTTGAAGCATCAAACTGTTGTTTTCAAATCAGTTGGGACTAGGAGTCCCCACTCAACAAACATCCCCCAGAAAAGTCTGAAAACCAGCAAACACAGTGACCTGACTCCCTGCATTACTCTCCTCCCCAGCACCCTTTCTCCTGGTCACACGACACTGTCACAGTATGGGCTCAATGACCAGTGTCCACCATGGACACACCAAATCCAGGGGTTGAAACAGCATCTGTGGGTGAGAATGACGTTACTTAATTCTGTGACCATGGAGGCCACAGCGGAGTAAATGCTGGGACAGGAGGCAAGCATTATTGTCTGCAGCAATAGAGTAGTTTTTAAACATCTCAGCCTCAGAGGTTTTTTTTAAGGAAATCTTAAAACGACTGCAGAAGCAGTTAAAGGCTAATTTTAAAAGCCAATGTAAAATTTCACTGAATTTTTTTTTTTTAAACAACCCTATGAGCACTAATAAAAAGTGAGAGTTTGGATAAAAAGGCTGTATGTGAGAAAACACCAGAGCAGCCTTGCAAACAGCACCCGTCCCCTCCCAGCAAGTACCTCCTCCTTGGCTTCTCCCCGTGTGCTTCGTGCTCTGAACACCTGCAGAGCCCAAAGAGAGGCCCGCCCGCCCTAGAGGAGATGTGCAGTGGGTGGGCTCCAGTTTGGTCATGTGCTGGGGACAATGAGCTGTGTGTTTACAAGTCACAGGCTCAGGAGGGGCTCCTGATGAAAAGCATCTCAGACACTCCTCTAGTCCTGCCCTTGGGAAGTTGTGGAATGTCAACTTACGAGTCTGTGCAGATGTGACCAGACTTGAAACAGCTGGGATAAAGAAGATTCTGGCCGGGCGCCATTGGCTAACGCCTGTTCCACCACCACCACCAGCCCTTGCCCAGCTAACATGCTCAGGTGGGGGCCGCAGTCCAGAGTGCAGGGTGCCCCTGAAATCAATGCTGCAACAGCACCTCTGAATTAGCCCTGGTTCTTAAAAGGACAGTAGAGATCAGAGATCAAGAGGACATCTTCAGTAGGTGAGAAGCCTCCTAGTTTGCATGTCAGACCCAAACATACCAGCTAGACAAACATGGGCTCTGATAAGGACTTCAGTTTTTCACAACTTAGTCTGAATATGTTGTACATAGGAGGATAGAAGGAGAATTGATGCCTTTGAGCTGTGGTGCTGGAGAAGGGTATTGAGAATACCATGGACTGCTAGGAAAACAAACAGATTTGTCCTGGAAAGGGTTAAACTGGGTGGCTCCTTGGAGGCAAGGATTCTGAGGCTCCATCTAACATACTTTGGACATGTTGTGAGGAGAGACCGGTCCTTGGAGAAGGACGTCATGCTTGGGAGGGTGGAAGGCCCTCTATGAGGTGGATTGGTTCAGTGACTGGGATAATGGGGATGGGAGTGTCAGAGACAGTGCGATTGGCACAGGACAGAGCAGAGTTTAAGGCTGTTGTACATAGGGTCGCTATGACTCGCAAGCGACTCGACGGCACATAACAACAACAGCCTGAATATACAAACTAAGAGTCTCAGGTGGCCAGATTCTGAGTTAGATGCTGGATGCCCCACACAGCTTTCACACTACAGCCAGCTCAGCTCTGCTCTTTAATAAGACAGTGTATCCAGATAGTTACTCTGGAACGCATGGCCTCAAGTCAACAAGGTTTTCAGGGCATTTCTAAACAGGGTTACTCTTTGGAGCCTGACCAACTCATTGCAGAGATGACAGGCTGGTGACTCCAAAGTGGGGTGCCATCCAATACAAGCCTTCCCTAAGCAGGAACTGCATCAAATCTCCCTCCTACAAAGCCCACCAACAGGGACACAGGGGAAAGGACTAGTCAAGAAGTGATAAATGCTACGGGCCTCATGCCTGGATGGAAGCGGGGGTGGGGGGTGTCTCCGCGTGTGTTCCCTCCCCTACCCCGTGTGAATGGATGGGGAAAAGAAGCCTCGATCCAGTTCTGTTTTCTGCCCCCAAATTCTCTCTGCCCAACCAAACTTCATTCATCTCTGGAGAACAAGGCAATAGTCTTGGGCCCTCCCTGACATTACTGTCCACTCTTCAGACAAGGTTCTGTGACCATTGGTCACTCCAGGTGCCCCTGATGCTCCAAGGGATGAAGGGCCTGGCTGCCCTGAGATCAGAGCAGCAGAGAAGGGAGGGAGCCTGGGGCCGAGGTGGTTTAAATTAGCAGATAAAGCACCACGACTGCTGTCAGTTCAGGGAAGGGAGGGAGGACTGCTGCTGAGCATTAGGACACCTGACAGCTCTGACTGGTTTAGCTTCAGAGCTGGAGGGGTGAGATCATAAAGGAGACGTTTCCCTGCTCATGCGTGCATGCGTGGGTACTGGCTCCCTGCTGAGGTTCAACATTGGAAAGAAACCCTCAGCCAACAGGAGTACCTGGCCCCAGTCTCCTGTGTTGAGAGGGGAAAGGGACAGAGGGGCAAACACAGGGAGAGAATCAGGAAGTTAGCAAATGCTACCATGCGGAACACTAAACTTTATTCACTTTATTTATATATTTAACAGTTCTAAAGTATTTACTTCTTGCTTTGACAAAAAAAAAAATGAAAAATATAGGAGCACTGACCGACTCCTCTTTAGGAGAAAAAGGTTATATGTACAGCTATGGAGAGTTACGGTTCCTCCTTTACATACAAAGAAAATATGAATAAAAAAGTGCTTCCTTGATCAAAAAAGGACTAAGAGCTGCAAGCATTTATTCACACTGTACATCGGACCAAGAAACCCGTATTGTCACCTTGGCACCTGTCACGAGAACTGCACAACCTTCAGTTCTGACAGCTTCTCCCGCCTGCCCAGTCGGCCACGCAGAGCCTGGGGAGACAGCCACACCCTGTTTTACCACGAACTCAAATCTGAGGAACCTGCAGTGCTGGGGGGTCGGAGACACGTTCAGTTGCTTTTAATTCTGCCTCGACCACTGCCCCCCACCCCCTCAGAAGGCTTAGGGCCACATCTTAGCCACTTCGGGGCACACACAGTAGCGACCTTCCTGAGACAACTTACCCTTCACCAGGGCACTGCTCCCCAACAGGGAAGGGGAGGAACAGCAGGGCCAGGCTCCCACCCGCACTGTTATCTGCCCTGTTTCTGGTCAACAGCTTGAGCAGAGCCTAGCATGCTCACATCCAAGGGAGGGCAGGCGCACAAGATGGGCACCAAGATTTCCAAGCACAAACGCAAAGTCCTCTCCAGCCTTCCCTACAGCCGCCTCCGCCCCGAGTCCTGATTTCAGCTTCTTCGGAAAACCACATCAAAATGCTCACAGAGGCACCCTGGATCTCCTATGGGCCATGTCATATCCATAAGGAGCCCGGCAGCTTCCCCATGTGGCCCCTCACTACTGGCCAGCAGCCAGAGCCCACGTGGGCACCACAGGAGCAGGACAGGGGCTGCTATTCAGAAAAGAGGGAGAAGGGTGGTTGATTGTAATGAGTACATGAGCCCATTTCCCGAGACTTGTACCCTAAAAGGTTGATTCTACCCCTTGCCAGGGAGATGCATGATTGGTTTGGTTTGGGAATGGGACTTTTTTGGAACCCTGAGTCTGGATGCCCGTGCTGGCCAAAGCAGCGATTAGGGGCTGAGGCGCCATGGGCTTCCAGAGGTGCCTGGGCTCAGGGCAGACTCTGGCCTTGATCACAGCAGTGGGGCACTGCCTTGTGGCCAGTCTGCACGGATGCCTGAGGCGGGGAGGCGCTACTTAGCTTGGCCAAGGGAAGACGACCTCCTAAAAGCAAAAGAGTCCCTAGAAAACCTGGGTCTTAGGAACAGAATCCTGCATGGCAGTCCGTTCCTTGCTGCCAAGGAGCTGGGCTGGCCAGCCATTCCAGGGCCCTCTTCCTGCTTCAGGGTGCTGGCCAGCCATTCCAGGGCCCTCTTCCTGCTTCGGGGCGCATATATTTCCTTCTCCTAAAAGGGGGCCTTGTGGCATTCCATTTGCTCTGTGCCCCTGCAGGTGGCAATCCCACGTATCCATCTGTCACTTGGGCGATGGTGCCCAGGAGCCAAGGTTTCCAATCAGCTCTGACTTGGTGAGGGTCTAATTCCATATGTTAACACTGACTCTCCTGCACTCACAGTCTCAAGGCCTCTGACCAGGCTCCTCCCGCCCCAAGGCCAACCCACAGCACAGCCTGAAAGCAGGCAGCTTGGCAGTTACAAGGGCTGGGAAACCTCTGGTCTTTCATTTAAAAAAAAGTTTTTTAAGACAATCAGGGAGGTTTTGTTTTTCTTTTTTGAGAGCAGAAAAAGAAAGGGTGCGTCAGAAAAGGGGGGAATCCATCTACAATCCAGTGGTACATCCCAAATTTGTCACTCAGCACAGGTGGTTCCATGTCCGAATCCCAAACTGCACGGCCTCTCAGTCTGCCAGGCTGTGTGGGCCCGTCCTGGGACAGCTGGGCCTCTGCTCCAGGTCACTCAAGCTTCAATTTGAAGTGGCAGCAATGGGTTTATCCAGTTCGAGGTCAATGCTGGCGCTTGTGGGATGTAGACTGCTGTAGCAAGACTTGCACACTCGGTTGGGTTCAAAGAGCTGCTGGCTGGGAACTGGAACCTTCTGGTTACAACAACTGGAGCAGAATACGTTCCCACAATTCCTTGAGATGAGAAAAAGAAACAAAGCCATGTTAATTTCAGCAAGCTAGCATGTGGGGAAACCAACTTCAGATGACAGAACTGCTTAGTGTGTCATTCAGATGTGCTGAAACCTCCTCTGGGATCAAGCCTTCATCTCTCTAACCCCGAAACAAGAGAGGCAGGGCAGGCACCCTACCCGGTGTGTGCACACACACTCTTACTCTGCAGCCAAGAATACTTGGATGCCCTGCTACCATGGCTCCCGGCTGTCAGGGACACAAGAGGATGCTACTTGAGAGAGCGCTGTGCAAACAAATGGGCCCAGGGCAAAAGCAGTCAGACTCAATGGCAAGTATTGAACTAAGAAAATCTAGTGAGGCCACAGCCACTGGACAAATGGCCTATTGGGAATGTGTCATCTCTGAGAGTGGAACTGCCTCCAATCCCCTCAGATGAGAAAAACGACTCTCCGGCCCAGATGGGGAAAGTGTCCAGACCCTGACCGGGGGGGGGGAGCCTGCTGCTCCCCAGGGACAGGCACATGGAGTACAGACTGCTGTTATCTGGGACTGCTCTGCTGGCAGCATGCAAAGCCAGGAGACGAGCAGCCTGTGACACATGCTCACAGTGAAAGAAGTGGGAGGACAAGAGCACAGATGAACACACGTGCACAAACACACGTACACATCTTTATTAGATCAGTGTCAGTTAATTATGGCTCGCTAACCACCCTCCACCCCCAGAGCTCTGCCTGAAGGCATCTTTCCCCTTCTCTTGAAGGCCTGCTTGTCCAGACCACAGTCCTTCGTAACTAACAGAAAGAAAACCCAGCACGTTTCTGCCCAGCTATGTCCCCACTTTTGCTGAAACACCAAGGACAAATCAATGCCAATAAGCCCAAGAACAGGAGATCTCAAGGAGCCTGACATAGTCCACCAAAGACAAAAGGAGGGCAGTTAAACATACGCACTCCTCAGGATGCAAACCCAAGGTCGAATCAAGAGCTACTAACAGGAGCAGAGAATCTGAATGCTGTTGGGGGACCAAAGAATACTACAAAAAGAGAAAGCCTGGACACAGTGCAAGGGAAGGGCACACAGAACTATACCAGACATACAAAACCTCATCCTCTGGCGTTCAGTAAGCTCTTCACTGGGAAAACAGTGTGCATTACCAAAAAGTATGACATCTACAGGAGCTTGTGGTCATAAAGGAAAGCCACCTCGATTTATTTATTTACTTACTTCCTTCCTCATCCCTGTTAAGAGTTCAGATCATGAACTTGAACAGCTATGTTTTCCAACCTGATTTCATTCAGGGACCCTTAATGATCCTAAATGAAGTCTTTCCTGGATATCTTACATGCTAAAGTGATTCTCTGGAAAGATCACTTCTCTTTAGTTCCTGTCTTTAAAAAGGAGCAGTGATGCTGTTTGACTCAGAACTCACAAGCCATCATCCTTGCAACTCAATGAGAGACTGAGCCAAAAGACATGGCTGAAAGGCTGCCTGGCTTCCCCACAAAGCAGCGCTGCCAGAGCAGCCTTTCTCGTCACAGCCAGGATGGCTCTGCTGACCTGTGGCCAGAAGGGAGGGACATAACTGCAGCCTAATCCAGCCCTGCAGGACTCCTCCCTCAGCTGCTCTGCTGTCCCTCCAAGCCCACCTGCCTGCCTGTGCTCTCCAGTCGCAGGCTTTCATGCCAGTGAGTGTGGAGAGGGGAGAGAAAGGACAGCGTTAGTTTGAAGAAGTTATTGGAGATATGCAGACATCACAGACAGGTTGTTGCAAATGCTCACCACGTTTGATCAACACGGTCAGTGTCCCTGCAAGGAGGGGAAAGAGAGCTCAGAGGAGAAGCTGATCAAAGACATTTGAGCTGGGGTGCAGGGTTGAGAGATACATGCTCATAGAAGCATGGTCATTGGACAGAGAGGGCCGTTTTCCAGGTTCGTTCATATGGGTGTGCTATATGATTCAGCAGCACTTCCTATCCTAAACACACTGAACACAGTGCCAGACAGATACCACCCACAGCTGGAGCAAAGCATCTCTAGTAACTCTCACTAGAAAAGAGAGAGAAGTCCAGATCTTCAGGACCAGAAGACTATCTTCAGCTGTTCCTATGACCCTCCTACCCCACCCCAGCTAGGCCTGTTCACCATGGGCCCTACAAAATAAGTTTGAGGCCAGAGAGCAGGGGAAAGAACAGGAAAATGATGTTCCAGCCTACAGAGGGACCCGAGATTGGCTCACAGTAGCCATGCTGAATGGAGGGTAATTTTATACAGGGAACAAGAGACGGTGGTTTGAGTAGTAGCTTTTGTTCCCAAGTATTCAGGAAGCAAAACAAAAGTCTCTCACTTGCACATTTCAAAACCGAGGGGCTACTCTGACCTAGATCAGTTAGCCAATGCAGTTCTGCAGACACTGATTTCAGAGGCCTGAAAGAGGGGTGGCGGTCCTAAAAACCCAGTGGGTCTTGGGATACTGCCAGCCTTCCATCCCACAGGCTCCTGTGGTTCCACACAGTCACACCCCCCAAGGGCACCTGCAGTGGTGCTTCCTGCTGGCGAGCCAGAAGGCACTGTCGCACGCATAGCAGTGGGCAGCCAGGTGGTCAGGGAGCCAGCGGGTCATCTGCAAAACAGATGGGGCCAGGTTAGAGAAAGGGGCCAGGGTGTCCAGCTGGAGCCAGCAGAGCACACTGGGGACAGCGATGGTCTCAAGGACCATACCAGCTCTAGCTGTACCAACTCAGTAGGTCCGATGTCAGCAGTACAAGAAAGGCGTCCAAATCGTTTCCCTGCAGGGACTCCAAAGGCCCCTGAGACACAGCAGCAGGCAGCAGCACCCTGGGTGGCTCTGAGAGCTGGCAGTGCTCCAGGTCAGAACACTAGTGAGGAATGCAGGCCAGCTTGCTAAGTGGTCCTGGCTTAGGAATTCTAGGCTCGCTGGGGCTCACAGCTAACTGTGAGGTTACTCCTTGGCCAGGGGCGTGGGGTGGGGAGAGGAGTGGAGAAGAACCACAAAACCGGTGCATGGATGGTGCTCAGAGCAGGGGCTGAGCCTGTACCTCCGTGTCCTGTTTATCCACCTGCTCCCAGCTGGTTTCAGAGAAAATCTCTGTGCTGCAGCGAGACAAACAGTTCTGATCCAGATTGCTTTCCGAGTCGGGGATTGACGTCTGTTGGCAAACAAACACAGCTGAACAGAATGAACCTGGTCTCCTCCCAGAAGAAGAAAAGGTGTGGTACAGAAGGGAGCATGGGGGGTTACTGCTGGCCTAGGTGTTAGGGCTGCCGTTCACTAGATGCACTACAACCAAGAATGGGATAAACAGGTGGAGAGACTAGGCTGAGCTCAGCTGGAAGAGGTATACGCATGTTTAGGGCTCTAGATGGTGGCTGTGGAGTGAGAAGATGGGCTCGGGGTTCCAGAAAGGAAGCTAGGGGAGAAGTGACCAGAAAGGAGCATAAGCTCCACATGCCAGCGGACACTCTGTTCCAGGCCTACCCGCCGCTGAGTTACGACTTTGGGCAGGTCTTCCTTTTTCCGAAGGATTCTTTGAGAAACCATCATAACGTGAAGGAAAACCATGTAATCCCTCTGAATCTAAGATCATTAGATGTGCTCGCCTTTACTGTACGCTGACTGCTGCAGAGCTGGGTCCACCCTTGCAGGTAAGCATGCAGAGTCAGACCTCGGCAGTGAGGAGCCTGCACTTAGAGGCCCTCCTCTCTGACACCCCCACCCCAGTCACCAAGTCCTGGCACTGCCAATGCTTCTCTAGAGCGCAAAACCAATCGATGGTCTCAATTTCTACTCCCATTACTAGGCATCAAACACCTATTAAAGAACTAAGCTTCCATGGTTGCAGCTCACGGTGTGTTTCATTTGGCTTCATTTTATTTTGGGTGGGGGATCATTACTAGAGCCTAAGGTACTATATTCTGACAGGAACATCTGACATCACCCTACAACAGTCCAGGTGTCAAGCTCTTCATAAGACACAGGATCTCCTAAGACGTCCGCCCAACCATGTGGAGAGTCCTAACCCTTCCTTCTCTACCTACAAGGCTTTCCTGGGAAGGAAATGGGCAGGGAGGTAGAGGCAGACTCATTTACATGGCTGACGTTGTTGCCAGCTTCTCTCGCCAGCCTAATTCTGGACCATCCAGTTTTTCACCAGTCACCACACACTGGGCACAAAGGCATCCAGTCTCAGCATGCCCTGTCTCCTTGGGCAGCTTCTGCAGAAACCATGATGTACTCACCACTTCATCACCAAAGTCCCCGTTGAATCGCAGTGAGCTGGTGAGATACTGGCTCTCCAGACGACTCCTCAGCTCCTGGACTTGCTTCTTCAAGGTTTCTACTTCCTGCAGATGGCCTGACTCAATCTGCCGGAGGCGCTGTTGGATAGTGTCCGTGTAGACAGGCATGCCATCGTCATCCAGGTGGCTACGAGAAGGCTGGTCAGGGCTGCTGACCACAGATGGCCTCCCTGAGTGGCTTTGTAACCACTTGTGGTGCAAGGTCCTCGAGTGGAAGTGGGTGGAGTTGCAGCCCACAGCGGACAGCTGGCGGCTCAGGGAGTCCTTGCTCCGGCCAGCCTCGCCGTTGTTGCAGTGCCCATTGGGCGTGGGGTACTTCTGGAGAGGGCTGAGCTCTCTGGGCTGTTCAGAGGCCTTGTTCTCAGGCTCAGGGGCACCGTTGCAAACAAGCCCTTCTTTACATTCAGCTAAAGGCAAGGCACAAGGGGAACATGCTGGGCTGTGGGCGTGGCCAGGTAAAGTCCTGTGCACCTCAGCTCCCATGGAGGGCCTCTCCAGCAGGTTCCTCTCTGAAGCCCTGGGCTCTATGGCTTGGCCAAGGATGTCCTTGCCACCCAGTCGGCCACTATTTACCAGGGAAGATCTATGGTGGCTTTGGGGCTCATTTTCTGGCCTCACCTTATCTTCCGTTAACATGTCCACACTTGGTCCTCTGGCCTCAGGTGGCACATGAGGAGGCAGCAGAGAACTTGACTGTGAGGTACCACAGCCAACTTTTGTACCAACTGGGACGGGAAGAGCTGCTTCCTCTCCGTCCTCTGGGACCGCTCCTATCTGAGGCTGCTCCACAGGGATCTGCAGAGGGTCCTCTCCTGTGGGGGACTCCTGGAGCAGACTGGGGAGAACGCTGTGCCCACCGTATGGTTCAGAAACACCTGGGGAGGACACAGACAGGTCTGGGCCCAGGTGGCTCCCAGGGGCAGCATCTCCCAGCTCCACCACACAGGCGGGCCTGGCAGGCATCTGTCTCTGGCTCTCATTTTCTAAATGCACCTCCTCTTTGACCTTCTGCGTCTCATCTCTGTGCGCAGGCTCCTCGACCCCACTCTCCTCTTTGGAAGCCTCTTGCAAAATGTTCTCCATCTGCCCCTCAGCCACTCCAGCTGCAACGGACAGCTCGGCGCCCCCCAGCCCTCTGGCGGGCCTCCCCACGCTGTCCACATCTGCTGGCTCCTCCCCGGGACCAGCCAGGCTGCTCAGCTCCAGCGAGCGCCGGTGCTCCTGCCATTTCTCGTTGAGGCTTGGGTCGCTACTGCGCCGGCTCGCCAGGGGCATGGTGTTGTCACAGGCTGTGGTGAGATTGTCAAACGATCTTGTCTTTGGAAGCCTAAAAGAAAGGAATGTGGAGGAATGAGAACCTGTAAAGCTACTCACAGGGAAGTAAGGAGGTGACAGGTGTTAGGGGGCAGCTGTCTCACAGCTGAATCCATTACAGCTACTCCAGGAAACATAGCAGCTAGAGAGGCAAAGGTCCCAGTGGAGTCTGAGACGTCTCACACAAGGCTCCTGTCCCATGCTCAATGCACACAAATGAGCCAGCATCAAAAGGTATTGTAAAACGACCTCCTTCACTATCCTGTGTATTTCTCAACTAGTGGCCAAGACAAGTGGCATGGCTAACTTTTTTGATTCTCTAGTATTTTAGCTTATCTCTCAGTCTGAAGTCAATATTAACTCACAAGGAGCAAATCCGTACTTTCTACCATCCAGCAGCATCTGCCCTTCAAACCGACAAGAACAAATAATTGGCAGGAAGGCAGACATGCAGAGCAGTGGGGGAAATGTCAATAAAGTGGTCACAAAGGAACAAAGAATTTGCTGCATCCCTAAGAAACTGTTTAACACATGAAGCAGAACCATTCAGGGCCTGCAGGAAATCGGGTTCTCCGTGGCTTTAAGGCCTGGACATCCTCTGACTTCCCTCAGATAACTTCAGAGCTCTAAGGGAAATGTCTGATGCCAGACAACAATGTAATGTGACCATCTCGGAGGACAAGCCCCTGCAAGAACATCTCCACACAGAGCTTGAAGCCTGGATCATTGAGCCAGGGCTCACCGGCTTAATGGAGAATCATCAGGGCTGGTGCCTGGGACTGGATACGGTGCACAGCTATCATCCACGGGGGTGGATGGGGACGGGCAGGGCAGGTACACTGCGCTCCACAGCATCAGATTACGCACATGGCACACTGGGTACAGCACCTAAAGAAAGGGAGGACAGAGGATTAAACATTGTCCATCACAAGCCTTTTAGAAATGATTGGAAGCAAGGATCAAAACCAAGCACTTAACTAACATTATCTAGGCACAGTAAGAATCTCTGGAGAAAACAAGTATGAGATATCATCTCACTCCAGTAAGAATAACAAAATTTAATAGAACAGCAAACATCAAATGCTGACGAGGCTGTGGAGAAACTGGAGACATTATTCACTGTTTGTGGGAGTGTAAAATGGTACAACCACTGTGGAAGGCAGTATAGCGCTTTCTCAAAAAGTTGCAGATATAAATATCATTTGACCTAGCAATTCCACTAGTGGGAATACACCTTAAAGAAACCATAACTGCCACCTAAGCAGATATATGCACACCCATGTCTACTGCAGCTCTGTTCACAATAGCAAGGAGCTGGAAACAACCCAAGTGCCCGTCAACAAACAAAGAAGCTGTGGTATACTCACACAATGGAATACTATGCTGCACTGAAAAACAAGGAACTCATGAAATACTATACAAAATGGGTGACCCTGGAGGACATGATGCTGAGTGAAGTATCTCAGTCACAAAAGGACAAATATTGTATAGAGCCACTGTTGTAAAAGGGGACTGACAACAGGGTTGAGGGAAGACTGAGAAAGAGGGGGATAAATAATGTATACTGATTGAAACAGATGAGGGAGGGAACTGTTTAAAAGGGATATATGATTAGGTATTATTGTCATGACAGGAGTCCCAAACGAAGGCTGCACAGTGGAGTGGATTTGGAGGGACCATATAACAATGAATTTTTTTTTTTACTTTTCAAAGAGAAGAGCGAATTGGGGGGAGGGGTGAGCAGGGAGAAAAGTGCAAACGAATGAATGGAAACCCTAAGTCTCTGTAAACTTTCATTAAAACTAATTAAAAAAAAATAGGAGTAAATAAAGTATTTCAGAAAATAGAAAAAAGGGGAAAAAAGAATCTGGGGAGCAGAAGCACCGTCTTATCTCCCGAGAGGGTCAACAGGAGAGATTTCTGTCTGGCAGCGTTTTTCATCCAACTGCCTCTGGTGAGCACACGAATCAAAAGCATTCTTAAAAGCCAGTTTCTAATCATTCCTTAGGTCACCTTTGTTGAATGACAGATTTTCATCAGCTTTTACTGCATTAGAAAGTGAGTCATTCTATTAAATGGTGATTGTCTCTTCTCCTGGTACAAAAACTTGGCTTCAAAAGACATTATCAGGCTTCTTTTATAGGCTCATTTGAATGAATCATGTGAGGAGGAGGACATTTCTCCAGTGTTGTTACTGTCCCAGCAAGCACAGTGAAAGGGAGAAGCAGGTAGCTTAAATCCTTCCTTGGACTACTTAAACCAAGCAGCATATTACTAGTCCAGCCGAGCAATATGACTTCCAGTTAGGCTCCTTCTGACTCCTTAAGAGTTAAGATGCATTCTGTCATGTTCCGGCATGCAGAAGCAAGTAGCTCCTTTTCACAAGTCATTCACTCGGGCAACAAATTCTTACAGGAGCTATTAGCTCCCTCCCTTTGTGAGCAGAGAATCACACATGCCTGAGTTTTCTGCTCTGAGCTAAGCACCTCTGGTGGTGAGCATCACCTCTTGACAATGGAAGGCACTGGGGCCTTGGAGCCTCTCCAGCCCAAGTTGTCAGGGGTTCCAGAGGACACTAAAGTGCCCCTTCCACTTTCTAAGTAGAACGTGCTAGAAATAAGCTCTTTGGGGGAAGTATTAGAAAAGAGCACATCCAGAGTGGCAAGGTAGTCAAACCACTCTAAAGAAACAATGGTGACAAGTGGGTCACAGATCATCAAGAAAACAGGCTGTTTTAAGAACCGATCAGTTAAAAAAAAAACAGATCAGTAGAAAAACCAGCATCAGCCCAGCCTGTGATCGTTTCAGAAGTTACTACTCATAAGGTTTTCCTGGTTCTCCACCCCACCCCATTTCCTTCTGATGATGACAGAGAAGAGGCTGAGATACATACGGCTTCGGACTGAGAGGAATACAGCAGGTTTTTGAAAGCCTTGTTGCCTGCCCTGAGAAGTGACCATACGGAACAGGTGCGCTCCTGAGTATGCTTCTCCCCTCGCTCCTTGGCGTTGTTGCACAGGAATGTTCCAAAGAGGCAGGAATAGGTATGCTGCACCAGTTTCACCTGTGGGAGTCAACAAGGCAAATGAGGCAGTGGGGCCTGCATTCCCCAGGTGCAGCCCAGCCACCTCCCCAACCCAGAGAGACTGCAAGGATTAGCGAGTCAACTAAGCCACACAATCGCCACCTCCAACAATGCCAATTCCATGGGCTAATGCTAACTGCCACCATTCACAAACCAAAAGATGGCAGGGAGAGACCCCCACTCTCCTTCACCTCCCCGGCGAACAGTCTCAGAACCTGTGAGTGACGGAACAATGGGGGAGCCTCCATGAGCAAGGTCCCCAGGACAGTACAGCAGCCTAACCTGACCTAAGTGCTCACTCTGAAAATTGCTCATTCATGACTGGAAATCCAAGGTCTCTGTAAATTTTCATAAAAATTATAATAATAAAAAAAATTTAAAAAAGAGTACACACAACAAAAGTCTAATGTTTTTTAATAAAAGCACTCCTTTCCATCTAGGAAAAAAAAAAACCAAACCGAAAACTGCTCATTCATCCGAGCATCCTTCTGAGCCCCTCGCCGCCCCAGGCGTCACCACTGAAGCTGGAGGGGCAATAATACTCAAACAGCCCTTCTGCTCCTGTGGCGCTCACTCTGGCTGTGTAGGAGCGGGACTGTGCTAGAGAGAACAGGGAGGCAGAGCAGGGATCTGACGGAAGCGAGACAGCAGTCGTGATTGGGGAGGCTCCAGGCAGAGGCAACAGCAAGCACAGTGAAGCAGGGGTGCACTGTGCCACTGAAGATCACATGGGGGGACATGGCAGGAAACGAGGCTGGAGGTCATGTCAGAGGAGGAATTATCAGGCCATTTACTCCAGCTTTCACCGTGTGGACTGGAAAGTCACTAAAGATGGATTTCAGAATCTCTCTCTCATGGTTTTAAAAGGATTTCTCTGCTGTCTAACTTTCCCTGAACCTGGGGGAGCAGATGGCAGTGTTCTGGACAAATGTGGTGAGAGATGAGGAAGCAGTATACGTAATCAAGCTGGAGACATATTTTGAAAGCAGAGCTACAGAATCTACTGACAAGAGTATAAAAGGGAAAGAGTGAAGGATGACGTCAAGATTTTTTGATGACAGGAGAGTGTTGTCATTTGGTGAGGTAGAAAGACTGATGAGAGACTGGGTTTTAGGGTGGAAGATACATACTAAATTATGTTAAGATTGAAATGCCGCATTAAATAAGATACTAAGTTGTTACAACAGGATATATGACTGTAGAGTGAAGTGTGGGCGCTCTGGCGGTTTAGTGGGTAGGGAGCTGAGCTGCTGGTTTGAACTTATCAGCTAATCCGAGAGAGAAAGAGCAGCTCTCTTCCCATGTGATTTACTGCCTCTAAAAACCCACTGGAGGCTCTGATTCACAGGCAATGAAAAGAGGGGAATGAAGTGGCGAGGTCCAGGCTAAAGAGATACAGAGACAAAGGCTCGGGGAGGAGGATGGGCAAGCTCCTCCCTGGTGATTTACTGCCTCTGAAAGCCCACTGGAGGATCAGCTATGAATCGGTTCTGATTAGATGGCACACAAAGACGGAAAGGAAGCAGAGGACATAAGAGAGCTGTAAATGATTTGGTGGCTGGATCACAGGAAGCACAGACAGTCTGCATGGCTATCTTCCAACTGCCATTTAGGGTTTCCAGCATCTGTTCTGACAAACCCTGATGGCTCAGCAATTAAGCACAAAGCTGCTAACTGAAAAGTTGGCAGTTCAATCCAATCAGCAGCTCTGACAATCTACTCCTGTAAAAATGACAGCCAAGGAATCCTTCGGGGACAGCTCTACCCTGTTCAATTCACACACACGTGCTGATTAATTCAAAGGCACAACAGTGTTCATCAAAGTGAAGCCTCACCAAACTCAAGGACTTTAAATCTCATATACTTGGAGTCACGAAGTAAACAAGTATCTTTTTCTTGCTTCTGGTTTTTAATGAAAAATGGGAGACTCTCCCCTCTCTAAAATTTTCAAAAGTCCACAGAATTTGAGCAAGTTGGCCACCCGCTAACATCAGAGGAACCCCAGGGCAGAATCAACAAGCCCCAACTCACAAGGAATGCTTCGTTGAACTCAAAAGAGCAAGGAAATTGCCTCTGAAGCTGATGGACACAGTCAAGCCACTGCAGAAACACTGGACAGCGCTCGTTCAGGTCATCCGAGTTCTCCCCGTGACCACACCGGTCGGCAAACTTGTGGCCAAAATCCAGCCACTCCATCTCCACGAGGACCTGGAAACCCTGCAAGGAAGCAGCCAAGAGAGACCACTGACGGGTCGAGCCAGATTTGGGCTAGTCTGAGCCCGTGCTGGGCACGACGGCAATCATCCTTCGACAGCCTCCAGCAAAGCCATCAGCGGGGCTTGTCTGGGCCCACAGACAATGGCTGTATTTTTGGTGGGACACCAGATTCATGTGTAAAAAAATTTTCCAAATCCCTGAACTCCATACTATAATCACGGAAGGATTTACCTGACCCTTGAATCCACTTTTTCAAAAAGATTCTTTCACTCATGATCTAAAAGCCCCACAATTTTCTTTCAGATTTTTTCTTTTCAGTTTCTGCCTCTGGTAATATGCTTAAGTAGTCATATTTATAAAATAATTCTCCACGCTATATTTTACAGATAGTCATATACATACATATGTACAGATATGTATAGACATATGTATATACACACACATACTTACACATATATACTTATGTGTGTGTGTAACATAACTATATACACACACATTTTTTTTTAAAGGTACTTCATGGTGGTTCCTAGGATGCTCTGGTAGTCGAGTGGTAAGGGAGAATGCTGTCAACCCAAAGACATGTGGTTCGAATCCACCAGTTGCTCCATAGGAGAAAGATCAGCAATCAATTCCCATGTGATTTATTGCCTCTGAAAATCTGCTGGATGGTCAGCTATGGGTTGGTTCTGACTTGGTTCTGATAAAGCTACATGGTGTTTCTTACATTCTTGAGCGGCAGGTAGGTATTTGAGAGAGGGGCTTTTATACCACAGAACACTCTGTGGTGTTAACTAACCCAGTTACAACAGGCACACAAGATTTTTTTTCCCTTGTTGTGTGCTGTTGAATTGGATTGGGCTGGTACAGGAGGAGACTGCCCCTCCTTCTCTGGCAGAGCATCTGGTGGATTTGAACTGTGAGCCTTTTGGAATGCAGTGCAGCTTCTTGCCACTAGGCCACCAGAGCTCCACAAGATCTTTTTTACAACAGCCTTATTCTTCTAGGGGAGACAAAACATTTCCAAGTACATAGCCAGGTTGTCAATATTCTCAATACACTGTTACCCACAATTTTAAAAGGTTTCAGGTAAAAGAGCAAAGTAATTTCATTTTTCCTAATTACCACCTCAGAATTGAGTATACACTCTTCAGAGAGGTCTTAGGCATCTTAGAGGCTGGCTCTGTGACACTCTCCTGCTTTGCTGCATATCTTGAAGTATTAAATACAAATGCACCCACCTCTATTGTTCGATAATAAGGATCCAGTAAGAGCTTAGCCAGGGCAACGATCTGGGGGGTACGATCCCAGCCATCTGAACAGTGTGCTAGCACCGGTCTCTGATCACGGTCCACAGCATGCACCACCAGAAGTGCTGATTTCAGAAGCACAGACAGATGATGAAGCCACTTGGTGCCTTCAAGAGCTGAAAGCCAACTATAAAAAAGAAAAACAGGAGGGATAAGGAAATGCTGGCCTTCATGACTTACTCCATCATGCCCATTGCCCATAAAATGAAAAAGGAATTCCCAAAGTTTTCCCCCTGTAAACAGAACACTGCAAAAGCAAACAATCTGTGCTTATGTAGCATGCTCACGGCTGAGACCCATGACTCACTGTGCAACAGAGTGGGGACCCTTAGAAACAGGGAGAACAATTAACAGAACCACCATTTATTTTAGAACACATATGGTTCGTTTCAGAGAGAACCACTATCTTTCAGTCCATGATAAATGTATACACTGTAAGAAAAGTGGCTCTTTCTGGAATCTTTTCCTACCGAAAATAGCCAATTCTGAAGTGCAAGTATGTTTGTATTTCATTACCAGTGACTCTGCCTAACCAGTTCCCCACTGAAAAAGATTTAAAAAATAAACAACCTATCTCATAAACATAAATCCACCTATGCTATGATGTAAGCTCACTGCCACATGCATGAAAGCTACAAAGACAACACTCCAGAATGTCACCACCTTCCAACACTGACAACTGGTAATAATCTACTGACCAAATCTAGACGGCTCCAAACTCATCATTTTGACTTGGGCCAATGAGCATACCTAACGGCTGTGAGGTATTACTGGCCTCTAGAAAAAAGAATCCTTTTCCCAAAGATCTTCAAAAGCACTGGATCACAAGGGTTGCCCGTGGGATTAATCACAAGTTGATCACACTTCTTATTCAACTGTGCTAACATTTCATCTGCTGTATCCTGTCATGAATTCTCCTCAGCCCCCAAAAAGCAACTCTGAATTCTCCCAAATGCTATCAACTTTGTAGTTAAGAACCCAAGGTTAGCACTTCAAAGAGTCAGAGGAAGGAATGAAAGGAAACTCAGAGAAAGTCCACAGACCTTGGGAATGAGGAAGGATTAGGAGTCTGAAGTAGGGAGGTCATTCTCCACACTCATATAACAGAACGCCCTACGTAAGCACTGACTTCACATGGGGGAGTTCAAATCTACCAACCAGATTATGAATCCTCACTAGCTGATGTCATCTCTCAGTTAAAGCTGAAATCCCAGTGCAGTGCTCAGTGAACAGTAAGGATTCCTATGCCATACTGAGCTGTAAGTCCGTTGTGGGTAAAAATCCAGTTATGTAACTTTCTATTTTCTACTAGAGACCCGAGAAGACTTTCTAAAAGAAACTAATAGATCAGTAGTTTTTTCTCACTCCTCACATAGGCTTGGAAGGGACTAAAAGTGAAGGCTTAGGGGAGTAAATACTAAATTATGTCCTTTGTCCGAGGGAAATGACAAATAAGAGAACCAATAGAAGGTTCCTGAATCTAGCCAAATATTCCAATTGGTGTTATCCACATAGAGAATTTGCATTCCAGAATTTGCCAATTGAGGTGCTAACAAACTCCACTTTCTCTTATATTGTTCTCATAAGGGAGCAAAAACATATCCCCTTCACCTTCCATACATCCAAGTATTTGAGGGCTCATTTAAAGTTGGTCCCACCACAGCCTGAGTTTCTCCCGACCCTAAAAAATACATAAAGGATACTCTACTGCTGCATTATGATTTTCTGCCAGATACAGACAAAGCATTACCTTCTTCCTTACTTTCATTTGGGTCGGGTCCAAGCCAATGGCATCTTTTTGGCCCTCCATTTTTTTTTTTTTTTAAATCCCCTTTTAAAAGAAATAATTTTAATATATGAAAGGTACTTTGTTGTTGTTGTCCAGTGCCGTCGAGTCGTAGACGACTCATAGTGACCCTAGAAAACTAAAGACCTGGACACTTATATAACTTTGTTTCTCCACGTTCACAGAGTTTCCAGAGGCAAGCTATTTTGGAAGTGGATGCCACTCCTGCTTTCAAGCTTGTTTTAATCGAAGAGCTCCACCAAACACTGTCCAACATTATCGCATTTTGCAAAGGTACTTAAGGGACTGTTTAAGTGTTAACTCTACCTCTTTCATTTTATTCATGAGAAAACTCAAGACCTACAGTGACTGAGTCATTTAGTCAAGGTTACATGGTCAGTGAGCAGCACCTGGGGCTTGGCTAGCTGCTTTCCCTGGGCACCTTAAGGGGGACAGAGTTAATTGCTGCCTTGTGGGACCTGCACAGCGGATGCCAGTGAGGAGCAGCACACTTGCTCCTTCCGTCAGCTCTTCCCAAAGGATGGCTGCTTCTCACCCTTTGGGCAACTATAATGATTTGAATGATTTGTGACCATGGGCGAGTACAAGAAGCAGCAATCTGACTTCATAACTCAAAGATCATAGTAAAATTTGATGTGACCATGAACTAGACAGAACCTGGTGGGGTAACGAGGCTCCAGCACAAACAGCAGAGACAGACAATGCTGTGTTCCCTGGCACTGCCTCTCACAGTGAAAGAGGCTGTTAAATATTTATCTCTCCATATTTGTTTTACAGAGCATTCCTCCTAATTTATCTTGTATTCAAACAGTTTCGGGGGAGGGGTGCTCTACTTTCTTTATAGCAAATACCAGACATGCATTTTTAATAAGCAGTAAAAATCATGATAATATTCTCAGTAAATAAGGCACAGAGGAGTTTGGAAATTAGAAGCAGATGCAGAAGGTTATGAATGAATTTTGACTCCTTGTGGTATAAACATTCCAGCTCACAGCAGAGAAGTGTCACTACGGGACGTCAGAAACCAGCATTAAAATGATTTGGGGCAAAAGCAATGTGGAAGAGAAAAGAATTCATGTTCCAGACAAAGCATGCAGACAATGTCACAGTTTTGTGTGCTGAGGCATGTTCAGGTCTATACATTTGAAAACATCTCCAAGGACCAGATTCTCCTCCCAACTCTCCACTGTGTTACTATGTCACTGACTAAAGAATGCCTGCAGACTCAAAGTATAACAGAAGTCTACCAAGAAATAGAAGGAAAAATACTTCCAAAGTCATGTAAAAAATTTTGACAGTAATGCTAAACTGGGAGCTCAGGTGGCCTAGTGGCAAGAAGCTGTGCTGCGATCCCAAAGGCCACCAGCACTCCAAGGGAGAGGGATGGGCAATCTCCTCCCGTGCGATTAGTGGCCTCTGAAAACTCACTGGAGAGTCAGCTATGGGTTGGTTCCAACTTGGCAGTACAACCACCACAACAACGCTAAACTACAGTCAGGGCCTTGGTCTTACTTTCCCGGATCTGGCATCTGTGTGCACAGCAACCGCAGGGACTGAAAACTCCTCCGGATAGAATGAATGTTCGCCATCCCCATAAACACAACTTCACAGTTCGGGTAATATTCTGCAGAGAATAACAATAAAGAGAAGACAAATATGTTGAGTTTAAAACCCACATGGCCAAATGTAAAAGACACAAACTGGCTATAAAACAAACATTGGCAGCTGCTGACTAATGAAACGGCAATGTTTTGATGTGGAACTAGTAATCTCGTCCCTGATTGTATGAGGAAAACCTTGTTTGAGTTTTGGCTGTCTTTGCAGAAAGTGTAAAGACACAAGATTAGATTTGTGAAGATAACTAAAATGGAAGCTGTTATTTTTATTTTTGTTGGGTTTTTTTTGGGGGGGGAGGAAGGTGATATTTTTAAATTGACAAGTATATAAGGTTGTAGGTAACCCCAGTTTTACTCTTTGGGCCACATCTAACTCATGTGGCCAGAATCTCTTTGCTTCTGTTGAAAAGAGGCTGGTAGAAAGGTGTCTTCTTGCATTCAAATTTCACCTCAGTGCAGCTTAGATCATATCTGAAAAGGGAGCACAGTGCCCTCATCTGCTTTGTCAGCACACAATCAACACCAACAGAAACCTACACAGCTTCTCCTCGGGAAAAGTCAGCTCGCAAACAGATGTTAGAGGGCAGGACAGAGGCACCTGGTAAGCCTCCTGTATTTTTTGCCTCATTTTTCCATCCTAGGCTTTCTAAGTAGAAGGCACGTAGGGAGTTTTCTGTGAGACCAGTGATAACCACAAGTACAACATAAAGTTTTTAGGAGACTGTGTGATCAAGCCACTAAAAAAGCAGTTTTCAATATGAACAGGTGATCTAATGAGAGATTTTCTTTCCTTATCACTTAATGGCTGAAAAGAGAGCAAGAAGATTATTTGGTTTTAGAGCCCCTCCTCCTTTCCCTCTATTTCTCCCTGAGGAGGACAGTATAAAGAATCCAAAGAGAAACCCTAGTGCTTCAAGGCTGGCTGAGGAACACGCCTGCCATCATTTCACCTTGCAAAGTCGTCTCAGATGGGCATGCACAGGCCTCCCTAGGACAAACGAAGTGGTAGAGGCCAAAGCACTTACTACTCACCGGGGCACTCACAGCCTCCACCTTTGGCTCGATTTGCCACCGCTGCTGCATAGGAACGCGCATCCAAGATCAAAAGCTTTTGCGGCTGGATGACTAAACTCTCTGCTCCTGAAGTATTTGACAGAGAAGAATCTAGAGGCATGGGAAGGGAGATATAAAGAAAAGTTAAGTTTTTCTCTCTCAAAACTATGCAAAAATAAAAATCACAGGCACTACAGTGCAAAAGTTAAGTCATCTAAATAAAATTACCAAACCAGAACCCTTCATACATAGAACTTCTCTCTTTGGCTAATTTTCTATCTTGCCTTCTCAGCCAAGTCTTCTCTTTTACTGTCTCTAAAACTAACTCCTAAACCCCACATGAACCCAGTTTCCCAGTCTTCATTTTCTTATTTGGAGTCCTTCATCTGTATTTTCCCCAAGGACTAGGAGACCCTACATGTACCTTTTTCTTGTCACAAAGGCAAGAAAGCAAACATTCCATTCTCTCTTAAAATAAGTTTCAAACAAAGGGTCTTCTGATTCTTTGCAAAGACATTGATTCAAAAGAATCCACTCAAATGAAGCTGCACTAGTGTGTTAAAAAAAAAAAAAAAAGAAAACCCCCTAACCCAAAACCCTGTAGGTTTTCCACAGGGGATACAATTTTAAAAAAGACTGGGGGGGGGGCGCTGGGCAGGGAGAGAAGGGCAGCAATGAATGAATGGAAATCCAAAATCTCTGTAAATGTTCATTAAAATTATTTTTTAAAAAAAGACTGCCAGAGTCCAGAAAGCAAACCCCCAGATTCCACCATGCTTACCAAATTCCACATCAGAAAGGTCCCCTCCGTGGGGAAAGTCTCGAGGATTGTTCCTCGTTGACAGCTTGCTGCCACCTGATCGGGAGTCGGAGGCACAGGCTTTGGCTACTGACTGTACGAGGTGCTCATCGTCTGCATTCCGCCAGCCCCACCAGCTGACTTCGGGCTGTCCACAACGGGCGATGACTGCTCCATTGCTCTGGTGCCTGTGCAGGATGAAAGACCAACAATTGTACCCTCCAGGGGCCTCCATTTAGATATTCTGCGCTCACACAAACTGTGGGGAAGTGGATTTTAAATGCTAACAGCCTGATGACAATAGGTTTGACTCCTCTCAGCATTATGGAGGGCAGAAGTTTTAAATATCAACAAGAATAGCAAAATCTACCTAGAGCATTCTCAATTACCACACCACTATAGATACTTCTGTAAAGTTATCAATAAAACTCTACTTTTTGGAGAAAATAAATTAATAGTCAAAGTTAAATCTTTACTTTTTTAGAAAGGTTAAAAATTATTTCCAACAACTACACTAGTTCTATCACCCGATAATGAAACATCAATATCTCGTGTCTAATGCAGAACCTAAATGCTGTGACGTAACAGATGGTGAAACAGAGAAGGTGTGTTTCTGCACTGACTATGAAAGCAGCAGCTATGTTCTTCTAGCCTTGGGGATTCCTTCAAAATAAAATCCCCTTTTGTACTGAAGCACTTACCTGTTTTCAGCAAATTGCTTCATAAACTCTCCCAAGACTTCCTCAGTCACAAACTGCTTATTTTAGGAAAATAGCTCAACAGCCCACTAGCCTTTCCCAAGCTCATATAAAGAACAAAGCAGCATAAACCTCAGTAAGCCATGTTCAGACAGATCCTTTTAGAAGAAATCATATTCTTTTGGTCGACTTTAAGATGCTATTTAAATCCAGAGTTTTCAAGTTATACAGTTATAAAAACTAAATTAGAAAATGGGGGATATATATATATATTTGTTGTTGCTATGTGCCGCCGAGTTGCCTGTGACTCATAAGTGACCCTGTGTACAACAACTAATAAAATCTGTCCTGAGCCAGTCTCACTGACTCCAACACACCTACTCCCATTGTCCTAGTTACTTTCTCAATCCGTCTCATCTGGGGTCTTCCTTTCCTGCGCTATCCCTCCACCCTTCCAAGCAGAATGTACTTCTCCAAGGACCCCCTCGCCACATGCCCAAAGTATGCAAGATGGAGTTTCAAAATACTAACCTCCAAGGAGAAACTTGGTTTCACCCTCTCTAAGACAGACTTACTCGTTTTCTTGGCAGTCCATGGTATGTTCAAGACTCTTCTCCAGCATAAATGAAAGGCATTACTTCTTCTGTCATCCTTAGTTACTGTCCAGGTCTCTGATGTATAGTAAGTAACTGCAGAGATCATGGACTGGATCAGGTACACCTTAGTCTCTAGACTGACACTGTTGCTTCTCAGTACTCTGGAAAGGTTCCTGAAAACAGATTTACCTAATGCAATTCATCTTTTAGTTTCCTTACTGCTGGTGCCAGGAGTGTTGATTGTGGAGCCAATTAAGTTTTAACTGTTAACAACCTCCATCTCTTCTCCATCCATTAATAGTGCTGCCAATTGGCCCAGTGGTGAAAATATTTTGTCTTCTTGATGTTGAGCTTCAATCCATATTGAAGACTACAGTCCTTGACCTTCTGCAGCAAGCACTTCAGGTCTGCCTCAGTTTCAGCAAGCAAGGTTGTATCATCTGCATAACGTAGGTTGTTGGATGAGTCTTCCTCCAACGCTGATGCCATATCCCTCCACCTAAAGTCCAACCTCCTGAATGATCTGTTCTGCATATAGATTGAAAAGGTATGGAGACATGATGCATGCCTGTCATATACCTTTCCTGATTTTGCACCATGCAGTATAGTATTTCCTTGCTGTATTCTGATGACTGCCTCTTCGTCCAAGTATAGGTTTTGCATAAGCACAATCAAGTGTTCTGGAATTCTCATTCTCCTCATATACATGTATATTTTACAGAGAAGTTGCTTATGCATACCCAAGATCATGTGTGAGTTTCTTGGCTTGGAGATTCAGGGTCATGGTTTCATGGGATAACTCCTATCACTGCACTATTTCCATTTTCAGTGTTTCTGTACTACTTTCACATTGTGGGTAATACCTGCAGTGTTAAAAGCTTGCAAGCAGCCACAGAAGCCACAACAACTGGCCTCTATTTACCTGGAGCAGAAGAGGAAGTGAGAGTCAAGAATAAAAGAAAGAAATGCCTAATTGTGCTCATGAACAACTGTTCGTTCTGCCAGGAGACCAGAAGGAGCCAATGGCCAGCTACCACTACCATGACCGTCTATAAAAGAACTCTGATCAAAAGGAAAGAAAATGCAGAACAGACTGCCAAATTCTCAAAGAACCAGAATTTCTGAGGCTGGATAAACTCCCTAAACTGCTGGTGAAATAATCTTTAAGTAAAAAATATTTCCTAACGTCTTAAGTGAAATCGTAACTTAATTTATATTTATATATATAAAATCTGCCATGTTTTTTTAAGATCTAGCTATATAACATCAAAGTTACCAAAAAATCATTAGTTCAGAGAGAAAGGTTAGGAGCAATGAGTTCATGCTAGTGAAGGGAGAATGATTCCAAAAGCAAGGAGGAGAATGGTCGTACAACCTGTCAGAAATCAATGCCACTGAACTGTGGTGTATAAGGTGCTATGTACACATTCAGCAATAAAAATTTAAAAAAAAAAACAACACAACAGGTTTTTCCTAGTTAAGCGACTTTAGCCATTTTAAAGTTGTGAAATAGTAAAATTTGGTAATCAAAAGGGAAGTTCTGATACATGCTACAACATGGATCTACGAGCCTTTAAATGTTAAAGGTAAGAAGTCAGTCACAAAATAATTCCACCATATTTCTAAGACTTTATTTCTACAAAGTGTTTGGAATAGGTCAATATAATAACAGAGATAAAATTAGATAATAGCAGCCAGGAACTGGGGGCTGTAGGGGAGAATGAGAAGTAACTGCTAATGAGGATGGAACTTCTTTATCGAGTGATAAAAATGTACTAAAATTTATAGAAGTGTTGATTGTACACACTAAACACCACTCACTGAAATGTATGCTTTAAAGAGTTGACTTGTATTGGTTTGTCAGCTGCTGCTGGGTTTTTGGTTGTGCTTTTTAAAAAAATTATATAAGTTATCAGTTTGTTGAAAAATTAACCTCCTGTTGTTATTTGCCAACAAGCTGGAACCAGCTCACAGCTGATTGCCTTGCATGTTTTCAGAGGCTGTAAATCACACAGGAGGACACTGACCATCTTTCTCCCTTGGAAACAGCTGGTAGATTCAAAACACAGGCTTTTGGGTTGGCAGGACAACTCCTTACCACTAGGCCACTGGTGTTCTAGGACATAAAGAAGCTAAAGCAAAAGGAAGAAATTATAACAGAAGATTTCAAAGACAAGCCTGAGAAGATAAAGTAAATTATTAGGAAATATGTAAAGACTTAGAATTAGAAAACCAAAGAAGAACACACTTGACATTTCTCAAATGGAACATACTATTTAAAAAGAAAAAACAATTCAAGTTTTAAATTGTAATATTAAAGGAATATGGTCACTGTACCAGAAAAGAACTGACTGATGCTCAACCATTTTTAGAAGGCAATATATGATCAAGAACCAGTGGAAATGAAGGAAGAAGTACAAGTTGTACTGAAGGATTGACCAAAAAATTAAGGCTCCAAGATTTGCTGGAATATCAATTGAAGGGTTTCAACAAACATAGTGCTGGACATGCTCACTTGTATATATGCCAAGAAATCGGGAAGACAGCTACCAAGCCAACTGTCTGGAAGCAATCCTTTTTTATTTAAGTCCAACAAAATGAGAAAAGTATTGGACAATATGACACAAGTGGAAAAAAAAATCTTGCTGAGAATAATTTAAAAATAGTTGGAGCGATAATCAACAGGGAACTGCAAGAAACTCAAGGTAGATTCAGAAAAGGCTGTGTAGGGGAGGGCTATCATTGCTGATGTGAGATGAATCTTGGCTAAAAGCAGGTAATACCAGAAAGGCATTTACTTGTGTTCAACTGCATTTGATGTGTGGATCATACATAACAAATTATGGCTAATACGGAGAACAGTTCATTGTTCTCACTTGGAGCCTGTACACAGACCAACAAACAGTCATCCCAACAGAACAAGGAAAGTTAGAAAAGTATATGTCTGGGTTATTTCACCTCATCTTTCAACATGTAAGGGAACTCGGACGGCATAATCAGTAGGAACCTGAACTGCTAACTCAAAGGCATTACCTCTCTGGGTGGTTCAAATCCACCAGGCACTCTTTCAAAGAAATATATGTAATCTCCTCTGGTGTGATTTACAGACACCACCAAAAATCCATTGGAGGGTCAACTACAAGTTCTGGCTCAGGAGGAACTGAGTTGATTCAACACTAATATGAGCAAAAAAAATCTTAGAAGCTGAACGATATAAAGAAGAATGTGGTGTTAGGATTAGAGAAGGCTCATAAATTACATGAAATATGTAGTTAACACAACCTTGCTTACAGGAACAAAGACCTGAAGTATTTATTGATTAAGCCCAAAGATTATAAGTCTTCACTATAGATTATACCTCAACATAAGACAAAATTTTCTTACAATTCGACCAATAACAACATGATAAATGGAGAAAAGATAGAAACTGTCAAGGATTTAATTTTATTTGGACCCATAACCAAAACCCTTAGAAGCAGCAGTTAGGAACTCAAATGACATATTCCATCAGGCAAATGTAATGATGCCAAGGGCCTCTTTAAATACCAAAGAGCAAGGAGGTCACTTTGAAGGCAAAGTGTGTACTCACCCAAGCCATAGTATTTTCAATAAGAACTCTGTAGGCATGGCAAGTTGGACAATGAATAAGGAAAACTTAAAATTTACTGATGTTTTTGAATTGTGGTGGTGGTAAAAAATATTGAACATATCACAGACAGACAAAAGAACAAATAAATCTGTCTTCAAAGAAGAGTAGCCAGAATATTCCTCAGTAGAAAGAATGGTGAGATTTCATCTCACATACTCTGGGCATGGTATCAACAAGGTTCAGCCCTGGGAGAAGGACATTTTGTTTGGAAAATCCGGAGTCAGCAAGAAAGAGGAAGACCTTTAAGGAGAAGGACTGATACAGTAGCTAGAATAAAGGACAGCAGAGCCTGAAAGCAGGGGGAAGAGAAAGCTTTCTGTTGTACAGAACTGCACTGAACAACCACCGAATCTGTCTGTCTTTCTGTTGAACAGAACTGCACCGAACAACAACCGAATCTGTCTGTCTTTCTCAGTGAGTAATCAAAGATTTGTTTCTAATCCTAAGATGCATGAACAATTAATTAAACTTGGCAATAAAGGTAATCTAATACTACTGGAGCTACCTACTTGACTGTAGTTATAAAATTCTCTCCTCTTGGTAAAGAGGAGAAATACCTCTTGTATTGCCAATATGCTCAATTGACTCACCTGCTGACCAGAGTCAAAATGGAAGTAAAACCCCACTGATTCTCAAAATGACCACTAGCATATAATAGAAGATGGGCAACCACTGCACTAAATGACTTTAAACCTTTACAGAAGAGGCTGGCAGGCTTCTGTGCCATTTCTGTATGCTGGTTCCCAACAGTACCCCAAAGGAACGGTAGATGGCACTCTTCAGCCTAGATCTTTGGGCTGTAATCTTTACAGGAATAGACTCCAGGTCTTTCTAGTAAGCATTGGTGGGTCTGAACTATTGACCCTGTGGTTAGTAGTGACTGAGCAGTCTGCTTTTCTACAGATATCTAAAACGATACCCCAAACCAAACCGAATTCACTACCATCAAGTCAATTCCTTCTTCCTCTGTGAACTTGCAAGACACAGGAACACAGTCTTATGATGTTCCCAAGATGATAAATCTTTATAGGAGCGGACTGCTGTACTCTCTCCAGTGCAGTGACTTGTGGGTTTAAAGTGCTGACTATAGTTAACAGCCCAGAACTTTAGCCACTGTGCCACCAAGACTCTTGCATGGAAGATTGTTATGTAAAAATTACTTCCAAAAAGCATTCCTATGGTTTTAAGAAACAGAACCAGAGAAGAGTGCTCATCTTAAGACAGTGAGTCGATTTGCCCTTATTACTAAAACACTGAATGCTTCCATTTTATCCAGAAACACAGGAAGGTTTTCAATGCCTTTTTCATAGTCAGCTAGGAAAGTTAAAGTTCCCCAAGTGCCGAGGAGACTCTAACAGACACCCCAGCACAAAAGGGGAGCTGTGAACTGCACCACGGATAGGGACCCTTAGTATGATCTTGCTATGTTAGAGCAGTCTCTGCTGTCACTAATAAATCCAATCAAGTGCTCTCGTCACAGCAGGAGAAAGCATTAACGAGGGCACTGTTTCAGTGTGGCACCGACAAGTCCCTGCTTCCAGCCACCTCAGAATCATCACTGTCGTCTACAGACAATGCACTTCAGGAAATACATGTCAGGCTCATCCTGCACAAAACCATGGTGTGTCCTTGTCTGGAAGAGTAAGAAAGAACCCCAATACTACTCAGCATACTCTGCAGGAAGTCTTCAAATGCTACAGCAATAATCTGGGGCTCAGAGATAAATGACCTATGTTCTGTGAGAAAGGCCAATTCCAGTAAGCTTCTGACACAAACTACATGAAACATTTCCATTTGGACTCTTTGAAAAGAGACAGTTGGCAAATTTTTTTAAATGACCCTTTTTCCTTTTCATTTGCATATACTCTAAACTCACCCCTGCTATCAAGTCAACGCTGAATGTCCAGTGAGTTTCTGAAGCTGCAAAATGGGTATAGAAGGAAGCTGCCAATTTTTTCTCTGAAGGAGCTACAGATGGGTTTGACCCAGTAGCCTTTGGTTACCAGTCCAGTTTCTTATGTGCTATGCTACTAAGGTGTCTGTCTATTTTTTAAATGCATATACTCTAGAAAAGTGAGGATGAAAAAAACCCCCCACCTAGGGCTCATACCCTTCCTCAGAAGATAATTATATTTTAAGTTTTTCTTCTACCTGCATTCTAAGGCTCCTCTGCCAAGAGGGAAAATTCACCTAAAGCCTCTTACTTTGAAAATGAGTCATCCCACCTTATGCTCCAAGTGGGCAAGCCCCACCAAAGCTTCCTAGCAGGGCTGCTGATCTAGCACAGCCGCTGGCACAGAGGAGAAGCTGGCTGAGCGCCCCACTTGAGCTGGGCAGATCACTGATGACTCAGAACTCCTTCAGCTTTCCTGGCTCTTGAAATCCCCTGGTATTCTTAGGACTTGACGGACAGATCAATGTGGCAACCTACTTTCCTAGGGGGTCTGAAAGCAAAAGTAGTGTAAACTGGTAGAGGTAAAACCTTGCAGTATATCTCTTTATTGGGGAGGCATTCCGGATTTGCCTCAGTGGACCAAATGAGCAAACTGAGTACTTCACTGGGAATCCCTCAAGTAGGTGAACCTCTTGCTTGCACACAACCTCAAGATTTGAGCAGAATGTCTCCTGGCATACAGCGTTTCTAATTAAGCCACAGGTTTGGCGCAAGCTTATAGACCCCACAAAGAAAATAGTGAACTATGAACAGAAAGGGAGAATATGAACATTACAACGAGATGGCATCTGAAGGTTAAAGAATAAAAGGGAACAAGTTCTTAAAAATATAACAGGGTTTTGTGAAAACATATTCACTGGATTATAAAAATGACACTAGGGATATATCCTAAGAGAGTGCTTAGGGAAGCCCAGTGTTTACAGGCTGCCATAGACCTGCAATGAAAGAACTATGGCTCCTATTTTGTTAGTAGGTCAGTTAAAGAACTTGCTTAAGGTGTCACAGCAAAGAATGTCAGAGAAGGACTGGACCTCAAGTCTGATCTCAACATCTGTGCACTTCATCACACCACCACCCCATCTTTCTCCCTCTAGAAATCTGTCTCCCTTGATTTTGCTGCCTATGGACATCAAAATTTATGCACGCAACACCCATCCTCCTTGCACTTCCCTTCTTAATACTGCTGTCTCCAAATCTGAACTACAGTCACAGATGGCTTAACTCACCATTCTCATTAATCAGAACTTGTTTCTCTCAATCCAAAGCCCCTACTAATAATGGATGCTCAATGCAGTGTGCACGCCCTCTCTTTAAAAGAGTATCAAAAGGATTCTGAAGCAGCAATTCAGAAACTTTCTAACAAAATATTTCTTATCTATGTCAACTGAATCATCTCTGATCTCCAAAGTATAAACTCTGAGTAAGTAAAAATTTAGCTTGGAGGTGTTTTTTGTTAATTTTTATCTCCTTTGTCAGAGGGTCTGACTGACATAAAAAGAATCCTCATGGCGTCATATGCAGACTGCCAGTGGACCTCTCTGTTCATAGCAACTGTCCCTTACGAAACTTCTCCTACACATGAAAATGAACACCAGGTCTTCCAAAAAATGCATAGCATCTTACTATGCTTCTAGACATCAGTGTTTCCTTAAATCAGAGACTCCACACAAACAATCACATGGGCAAGCTTTCCTCCAAACAGGATCCAGCTGGTCTTGTGACCCTACTCTGCCTTTGCATGAGCCATCATCCTCAATCACTCTGCTAAATGCTAGCTAATGTCCTCTCCTCCCTTCAGAACCAAGGACTAAACTCAGTTCCTCTTTAAAAGATGTTGTCTCTCACCATCTGCTTCTGGACAGTGAGAAGTCAGCATCCTGGTCCTCTTTCTGTGTTACCCACCATATGATATCACAAAGGGAAGAGGAGGGCAATTTTCAAAAATGTTTCATGCATCCTTTAGGAATAAATGCTCATTTCCAACCATGGTTTGGAAAGCTAATGCAATCTGTTTAAAGTCACAGCTGGGCAGAGCTGGAAGAAAACTCTCCACCTTCTTCCCCAAGGTCAGAGCACATGCTGGTCTTTCAGAGGCTGCTTTGCACACCTGACCCTTTATCTTCTGTCCTCTTCCTACCTTCCCAAAATCCTCTTTCATCTCACTTCCAAAACACTAAGGGTTCTGGATGCAGTGAGTACCCATGTGCCACTCAAGGAGCAGCTTTTGAAATAAGGAGGCGCAGACTTAGCCAGGAGGCGCTCTGAGCCCCCCTCCCCCTCCCTTCCCAGGTTAGCAGTGGCAGAGGCCGTACTGTGCTTTCTTACCTATAGACGACAGCAGGGATACGCTTCCAGGACCTGAAGCCTGCTACACTCTCGAGCTCTTTGTCCGTGATCCAGGCGGGTACTATGAGCTCTTGTGGGTAGCTACCACACAGTCTAGGGCAGGGAGGAGGAAAAAAGGGAGAAGGGAGACACAAGGGGTGGGGGGCCACCATGGGTAAGGGGAAGAAATAGAAAAGGAGGGAAGATACCAAGTGAGTCAGTATTTTAACACTGAGCAAGTTAAAAGGAATTTTACGTAAGCCTGCCTTTTCAGTAGAACGAGTTATCTTGAGTTTTTGTTACATATTTATCAAGTTACATGCTTTTCTATTTAATACTTGATGCTGTCTTCAGGGATCTGACAATCAATAAAAGTAGGAGAATTAAGGGGCATTCTTCTTTTAACTGTGTTGTGACAAATCTCTCCAGGTCATTTCTAACTACATGAATATAGGGGACAGTTACAGTAGCATGAATCAGTGTAATTTCTACTGAATACGCCCAGTGTTTCAGGCTTTTGAAAAAGGGAAACAGGTAAAGAATGGCAAAAGCCCACAATTTCAAATTTCCATACTGTGAACCAAAAAAGTATCTTAACTATAGGTACTAGGAGAAATCATGGCTAGTAGAAACTGTATCAAGGGCCAGCCCAGCCCATACACAAGCATAGTCCCATTGAGCCAAGGTAGTAATAGGAACAAGATGGTGACTATAACTCCTATAAAACATACTTCAGCAGATTACACTCAGAAAAAGGGGATACCGGGGGGTGGGGGGCTCTCTGGGGCCCTGGAAAAGTTCACTTTATTATTTTTTTACATACAGAACAATGTCTCTCTATAGGTTACTGGGTCCATTTCAGCTATGAAGACAGTAAGGTCTTTACTCCACATACTAAAGCATACCGCAGCACCATTATCACCCTACCCTAGCCTACATGCATTAAGGAACAGGCAGAAATATAGACACTCACTTAGGCGGTAGAGTTTTATTTGTTTCAAATGATTCCTCTGTACATGCGTGTCTCTCTCAACTTCCAAAAGATTAATTATCAGGAATTTAAAAATCAATGAAGCACATGAATAGCTATGACCAAGAGTAACTATACAAAATACCCAACACCTACCATCAAATTCCTACATATAATCCATAGGTTAATATATAATATAGGTTAATAATAACTGTAAGTCTCATTCCTTTTCTCTTTAATATGAGAACAAATTTCTCTCTTTCTTCCTTTGTCATGGGAAGAGTTTTTCAATGTCCCAAAGATTTGTTTTGAGATGGAATGAGTGGCCCTTAAGACAAGTTAAATTTTAAAAATTCGTATGAACTAGGGATTTTGAAACCAGTTTTTGAGTGTAAATGTTTTTCCCTTCCAACACACTTACCTCAGTCTTTTACAACATGGTTCATGTACACCCCAGTCTCTGCTTCGATTGCTCACTGAGAAAACCATAGTGATGGCTGGTCACTAGCTCTCAACTTTTCAAAACACTCTGTGATCACAGCTCACTGGCCAATGGACACACTAAAGACTACATACATTAACGAGCTGAAGTTTTCCAATAAAAAAAGAATGTGCTTTGATGGCTAGCCACAAACAAGACCAGAAAAAGGGGTATCATTTGAAGCGGCTTAAAGAGCAATAGTGTGCTTAAAACTTCCAAACAATGTTGCAAGTAAACCTGTGAGGAGGATACACCAATACAAAGACTCCTGTACAACTTTAATTTATACTAACTTTGATCATTCAAATCACATTAACTGCCTCTTTCACCAAAGCAATTATACTTTGAGGAAAATGATGTTTACTATTTAATAACGATTAATATTTAATGATTAACTGGTGTGGTGGCTAAAGAATTCTTTTTTTAATCAGCCAGCCACTGTAGGAAAACGTTGAGGCAGCTTGCTTCATATTTAATTACTTTAACTGTAAATCATACTTTAACTATAAATCAAATACAGACTTCCAGTCTTGGGAACCCTATGAGCAATTCTACTCTGTCCTACAATCACTGATGATAAATCAACTTGACTGGTAGTGGGTTTGATTCTCAGTGGATCATAATTATGAATTTAATTTCATATCAAACTCAAAAGAACAGAGTAATGTTTATGTCTATCTTATATGATCTACCATAAAATTATAGTTATAAAAACTAGCTCCTAATTGTTTTATCTTTGCTTAGAGCACTGATCCTATCTCAAATATGCTGTGCCAAGTGGCAAGCAGAATGATGGAAAATGCCAACCTACAGGTAAACATAGCGATACCTAGACAAACATGTCCAGGAAGAAAAGAGACTGGGAAAGAAGGGCCTGGTTTCCAGGATCTCGTTAAATAAGGATTACTTTCCACTTCACTGACAATAAAGAGAACAAAAGGTTCAAGAAGTACTCGGAAGATTATGTATTTAGACTTAATAAAATTCCAATAGGGGAAAAAAAAGTTTAAATGTTCTGCCACATGAGAGCTGGGGTTTCTACAAAGGGACTGGTAGTGAAATACAGTTCACGGAGGCCAAGAAACTCACTTGTATTTCTCATTGATGTTGGAAATCCTCCAGGCGTTGTTCATATCAAAACCCATCCTCTCCACTTCATTCTTAAACCTTGACGTGACGTGCTCCCCTAGAGGCCAGAAAAAGACAGCAGAAAGGAAGAAATGAATACCCATTGTGCAAAACAGGTTGAATAAAACCTGTCACCCTGTTCAGTTATTTTCACAAGGGAAATACTGTATAGGTAATGTAATAACATATATTTAGCTCTGAAAAATAACCCCCAAGTCTCTGTCACATTAAAACTATAAAAGAGGAAAGAAGAAGAAAAACATTTTTATCAAGATTTATCTTGTATCATCTACCCTTGGAGATCAACATTCAGCCAAACCATAAGACAGCCCTATAAGGGAAACCATAACAGACAGCAGGGATGGGTGCACTCTTTAGAGCAATCAATGAGATCAAAAGGGCAGCATGTGCTCAAAACCAAGCTGAGAAGCCAGAAAGGGGAAGGAAAGAAGAATGAATGAATGAAGCTGTAAACAAAGGAAGGAGGTGGGAAAGTGCTTGCTGTACCATGGGGATTGCAATCAATGTCCCAAAACAAAAGCTGTTCAAATTGCTGAATGAAAAACCAATTTGCTCTGTAAACTTTCACCCAGATCATAATACAAAGGATATTTTTAAAAAATTATTCATTTCATTCCCTCCAGGGAATTAAATTAAATTCCATTTTCTCACACAGAGGTACGTAAACATTCTGATAAGAGAGAAATGTAGTATTCTGATAAACACCCTTTGTTGCTTTCTCGGAAGATAAATTCAGAAACCAACTCACTGTTGCAAAACAGGAACATATACTGAATGTTGTGTTCCTTCTCTTAAAAAATTCTGTTATCTCATACCCTTCAGCCACTCTGAGAGCATCGTTCAACTTGTTAGAGGGACAAGTCTGAGATAGAGAGGTGATTACAACCAGGCCTGTGTGGCCCCAATACCAGTACTTTTGTAACTACACTGGCTCTTTCCTTCCTCACACTAAAATTATAAAGTCAGTAATAAATTCACCATAAATAGTAATGTAGCTTCCCAACCCTGCCTCTGAAACACTTTGGCCAGATTTCAGAATGCAAGATTTTTAATTTTTTTTTTTATTTTAGTAAGGTAAAATGGAGCACATGTAATAGTAGATTAAAACCCTCTACAAAGACTCATATATTATTACTGTTTCTTCAGGCAAATGTATGGATAATCCACAGTATGTAAGAGGGGAAAAAAGATAGTAAATAACTTCAGATCACTGGAAAATCTTTTTGTTCAGAAGAGATTAGAAATCTTAGGAGACAAAGGATTGCTAACTGCTAGACATATGTTAAGAACATCAGCCTAACAAGTATAAGCTGGTTACATTTGCCTAATGAATTTGGCTTTCTCATTATTAACACAGCAATAAATGCAGAAACGCAACTACTATAAACAATTTCAAAGCTCCAGAAGATCTGAAATTATCTTCTTCCTTGAAAATATACACTCTTAGGGCAGTGGTTTTATGAAATAACAAAATAATAATACGCAGCATTTCTAAGATATGCTAAAGGAAGTAAAACGGATGGCAGAGGCTGAGAGAAACAAGGATAAATAAAAGCACAAAAGATACTGATCAGCAAGAGGAGCTTCAGAACTGAAAATGACAATTACCGCTAATGAAGGACAAGACTGTGAAACTTCCCTCTTTAAACTGTTTTTCTTGAGCTAGATATTACATGTTTCCTGAAGGAGAACTATAAAAAGACGAAGTGCAAAGATGCTGAAAGAAACAACGCGATGAAGTTAATCTCGTTCTAGGAAGTTTTACGAGCAATGTAGAAGCTTCCAAATAGAAAAGCCAGTTATTTGAATCGGGCTACCATCTGTCTACAAGTTATAAGCACTGCTATTGACCATCAAGAATACTAGACAGAAGTCTTTCATTCACAATCACAAATTACAAGCTGTAAAGCTAGAGCAACTCCAAGTTCATTAATTAAAGAGATTTTTCCTACCGGAGGATACAGTTCCAAGTCTTTGGAAACAGCAAAAGTACTTACATTAATTGTATTTCACATTAATATTTACCTCTTAGGGCAAATACAGAGATACCCTGAAAGGATTCTGTGGCTTAAAAATAACCACCAGCTACTTACTACATAGAACCATTGCTCTTGGAAGGGCTCAGACCTACCAGTCCAAGTGTGAATTGAGCAGAGAGGATGCAAAAACTGTTAATTCAAGCTTCATAGACACAGGTTTTAATTATCTTTCTATCTTCTGAAGTGATGACTTCACAATCCTTTACCAGGAAGTCACCAGAGCTCCCTCCACTTCATAAACTCTGAATCAATATAAATAATATTTCATACTACAATTCATTACACAAAAAGTCATAAAAAATCTCTTCTCATTAGCTGGTATGATGCTTTTGATAATCTGTAATCTTTTTTTAAGAAAAAGTATTTAATGACTTACTTATCATCAAACTTTAAGTTTGAAAACCAATAGTAGACCTTGAATAATTAATTGGCTTTTGTCAAACCTTGTTAGAAGCTTAATATGTTTATTTAATAAAGAAGCACATCCCAGGAAGAAATGAAAACATATCCACTGCTAGATGCCCCTCAAGAATTTCTCTCAGTAGTCCCACGTCTCAACTGACTGAATGTTGTTGTTGCTGCTGCTGCTGCTGTTGAGCACCATCAATTTGGAACCGATCCTCCGGAGGGTTTTCAGAGGTTGATAACTGTACAGGAGAAGACTTCCCAGCTTTGGCCGGCATAGCAGCTGGTGGTGGATTCAAACCATCTGCCTTTGGGATTGCAGTGCAGCTTCTTACCATATGGATATATAGTCCAACTTCAATACTGAGGTCATTTTGTTTAGCTTTCTATTTCTATACTACTAACCCTTCTTGCCTTTGCCATTCCACAACTCCCAAATAAGGATATGCTTCTTTCCCCCATTTGGTATTTCTTATAAATAAGCAAATAGAGTTGTGATTGATTAATAGTTAAGGAGTTACACTGCCAATTAAAGGCTGGACTCCACCAGCTGCTTTGAGGAAGAAATATAGACACTCTCCTGTGCGATTTATGGCCTTTAAAAATCCACTGAAAAGTCAGCTATGAGTCAATTCCAACTTGATAGCAATGAGAGAGAGAACCTCCCTTGTAACTGTGATTCTCTCTATGTGTAAACATTTCTTTAACTTTGTATAATAGTGGTCTTAGACATCATTACTGCCTTTTAATTATCATATCTTTGTAAATCTGATCTTTGGCTTTGCAAATATTATATATATTTATAGACATATTTTAATATTGTATTGCTTGCTATGCATCAGAAAGCTGGACAATGAGTAGGAATGACAGAAGGAAAATTGATGCCTTTGAGCTGTGGTGCTGAAGAAGAATACTGAATATACCATGGACTGCTAGGAGAACAAAAAGGTTCATATCCCAGAGGGTGAAACCAAGGTGCTCCTTGGAGGCAAGGATTCTGAAGCTCTGTCTAACATACTTTGCCAAGAGGGACCAGTCCCTGGAGGCAGTGTCATGCTTGGGAGGGTGGAGGAACAGCACAAGAGAGGAAGACCCTTGGTGAGATGAACCGATTCAGTGACTGGGGTGATGGAGGTAGATGTGTTGGAGATAATAAGATTGGCAGAGGACAGAACAGGGTATAGGGCTGTGGCACACAGCGTCGCTATGAGTCTCAAGGGACTCAGTGGCACATACAACAACAATATGTTGTATGTACTATTAACACTAAGATGTAGCCCCCCCCAAAAAAAAAGGGGGCAGACAGCTGTTAAGTGCAATCTGTTGTTAACCCAAATGGGTTGTATATTCACAAATCAAGCAATTAATCACGATAGGAAAAATAAAACAACTTCTATAATAAACCCTCCTTCTATCCTAACCAAGGTGTCAATCAGCAATCTAAACAAATGTTCCCTAATAAAAAGTCCACCTCCCTGGCTGAGAGTGCGTTTCTAAGTCTACAATTACATACTGCTTAAAGGGTAGAGAAGCTAGGCCTTTGCTCAGCGTGGGAATAAGTAGACTAGTACCAGAGTTATAGAAGGTTAAGAACTAAGCCAGGCTAGATTTCTAAATGAGAGGAAGAAGTCATTCTTCTCTGTGACATAATGTTCTATAGAGGCACTTACTGAACTGCAAACTACACTGGCACGGCCTTTTGCTTTCTACTAAGCAAGCAGCTGTGTGACCGTGTAGGACTCAGAGCAGCGTGCTATCTGCAGATCAACAAGATGAGCTTAATGAATTCATTCCCATAAGAGAGTTAGAGAGGTAAGCCTGATGCTAGTAGAGGCTGACGTGCCCAGTCAAATGTTGGGACTCCTGATTAATGTTCAAGTACACAGAGAAAAACCAGCTGCAAGTTGAACCTACAGACAACTTTAAGTCTATTTCTCTTTTAGTCTGAAATAATGCTAAAAGCAGAAGTTAAGAATTTTCCAAGTATCACAGGTAAACTCCTACAGCAATGCTGAGACTTCTAGAGTAAATTAAGAGCTAAAACAGTGGACAAAGTACAGCTTAGGTATGGTAAGTTTAATAGCTAGCAACAGTCATCTGAATTCCAAAGTGGTGATGACATTTTTCCACTTCCGGCCTCTCTGGCACATTCTCCTCTTAAAGGACTATGCAAAGAATCCATAAAAGACTCTGAGTTTATTAACTGCTTAAAAAAAATACCAAAATTAATTTCCATCCCTCAGGATCTCTGCCTGTGATCTCATGTGCTGAGACAGATTATACAACAAAAGGCATCACTTTGAAATATGTGAGGTGCTAACTCACCTTAGTCTGGTATGCTCCTATCTAGTGAGCAATAGCGGGTGGAGTCAGGACAACCAGGTTGGCGGGCCTCAAACATGCCAAAGATGGGATTTCTTATTAAAATCAAGTTTTGCTCAGTTCTTTATGGTGAAAATATACAACAAAGAAAAGCCATACGCACACATGCGTGCTATCAAGTCACTGAAATACAGTAAGATTCCATGTGGGTGACAGCCACTAACCTCAATGTGGACTGTATACCTTAGAAGGCAACAAAATCCTCAATTTACTTAGAGTAAATTTCAAGCCATCAGTTCCAGTTGTGTCACCTTGAATCTGCTGTCATTTTGCCTATTCTATCTCACTGCTGTCAAGTTGGAATCATGTCTGTCTCTCTTTCTCCCACTACTGTAGAGCTGGAATCAATACAGAGCTGACTTTCCAGTGTTTGTGGGGTTGTAAATCAAATGGGAGGCACTCCCCATACTCAGAGCTCCCTAGGAAGAGTATGAATGTGCCAACTTGAAGAACAAAGAAAAGAGCGTACAGGGAAGATAAATGGCTTGACTGATGACGTTTGTGGGGGTTTTCCCTTCACTTAAATGGCAGGCTGCAGGTCAGAATTCAGGTTTTCTAACTCCCTAACACTCCAGGACACTCTGGTGGTGCAGGCAGCTGCACTGCTAACCAAAAGGCAGCACCTCTCTGGTAGTTTGAGCTCACCAGCAGCTCTATGGAAGAAGGATGAGCAATCTCCTCCCATTTGATTTACAGCCTGAGGGTCAGCAATAAACTGGTTCTAACTTGACAGCAGGAGAGGAGAATTAGCACTTTACACTCACCAAGCCCTCCTACCTGAAAACCTAAGACAGAGAATACTAAAAAAGTCTGAAGGCTTGACGGTATGAAAAAGCAAAACCAAAAACAACCCTTCAGATATAATCAGGAAGGACAACTAGAGAATGTAACTCAAAACAAAGCTATGCATAATTGGAATTCTTTAAGAGTAAAGGTTGGGGGGATTGTGTACCAGGGAAGGAGTGTTTCTTTTACTTTTGAAAGAGAGGAACGAACTGGGGGGTGGGGGTGGGGAAGATGGGCAGGGAGAGAAGTGCAGCAATGAATGAATGGAAATCCAAAAATCTGTAAATGCTCACTAAAATTATTTTTAAAAAATAATAATTAGATGTAGACGAGTAGAAAAGGGTTTTCTTTTTCCAAGTAATTAAAAAGAAAAAAAGAAAGAGTAAAGGTCTGTCCCAAACAAACAAAAAAGAAAAAAAAAGAGTAAAGGTCTGACCTGACATAGTTAAGGGGTATCCTTAGAGTGGGCTCAAATTCAAAGAAACAGTGTAAAGTGTCAAGAGAATAACAAAGTCATCCAAAAAGATGATGAATTTTCCATTTGTGATTTGTGGGAGAACAGGAGAAAAGAAGTCAAGCTTTGCTGACTAAATGCTGGCAACCCAAACTAAGGGAGGCCTCTTAGAGATAGAAGTTTTACATACATCAAGCTCTTACAGTACAGTCTAATGCAATAGGGTACAGTGAATTGAGGTTATTAGGATATGCGAATAGAAACTTAATAAATAAATAATTTTTAAAATAACTAATAAGAGAGGAAACACAGTATAAAGGTTAAGAGAGTGAAGTAGCGACAGTTTAAGCACATTTTCATTTGGTGTGTTCTCTCTGGATAATTTTGGGTTCCACTGATCTGGAAAAGCCTGCAGGGAAGATCAGGTTCTGAAACTTTCCCTGAGTCTCCGTAAGGCCAGAAACCTATTCTTCTGTTTCATAACCACAGTACCGCAGGCAGCTCAAAATAACAGAGAACAGGTTTAAATCCTAGCACTATCACCGACTAGCTGCGTGACAACTAGGCTTCACTTCTGAGCCTAAACAAACAGGCTTTACTCCTGAGCCTCCACTTTTTTTTGTCTTCCAAAGCAGAGCCACCATCCCGCCTATTAGATGAGGTTATGGGGATCAAACATCTTAGAAAACAGGGTAAAATTACATTCGTACATTTTAATTCCACAAATAAGAATGTGAGCCAAATGTTCCAGTGAGTGAAGCTTACTGGGGACCAAAATGACACAAGTATAGCTAGACTCGCCTCAAGTGTTTAAACTGACCCAGGAAGAGTTGTGACAATAAAGACTCAAGATTAAAGCTGAGGACCAAAGGGGGAAAAATGGTCTCCAGAGAAAATTCCCTTGGAAGGAGGCTCAAATTTTTTTCTAAGCATTCAAGATACTGCTTCCAAGTCTGAATTAGGTTGAACCAGCAAAGTTCTACTTTTTTTTTTTTTTAATTTCTTTCACATACATTATTTTTCACAAAGCTCTATTTAAAGCAGCATCAAGTTTAAAGACAACCACATGCAGAAAAATAACATGAACTTGGTCAAAGTCACTGTGAGGGAGAAAAAGGATGCATCAAGCAAAGACTTGAGGAATCAGGAAGCCCCAGATCCAGAACAAGTCAGTGTCTCTATCTATCCTTGGGGAAGTCACCTGGCCTCTCTGAGTCTCTGTTTCTTCATCTATGGGATAAAAGGAGTGACAACAGGTAATCCATGGCTTGAAAATAACCAACGTAGCAAGAGGCTATTTTATACTCCTCTGTTCTGTAGTCTATCCTCATACTTTTGTTCATATCATTTACTCTGCCTGAAGATTTTCCCTGCTGACTAAAAATGTCTTATTTAATCTTAAATCTTACTAAAAAGATACTTCTAATGTAAAATCAAGAGCTCTGGTGGCCTAGTGGCAAGAAGCTGTGTTGCAATCCTGAAGGCACACAGTTCAAGGCCATCAGCTGCTCCGCAGGAGAAGGATAGGCAATGTCTTCTCATGTGATTAAACCACTTCTGAAAGCCCCCAGAGGTCAGCTGTGAGTGTGTTCCAACTCTACAGTACACAACAGCAGTAACAATGTAATATACAAAGTTCATGGGTCCTTCCATTAAGCTTCTGTAGCAGTAAAATCAGTTGCTGTTAAGGCAAACCCATCCATGTCAGAACAAAACTATTCTATATGGTTTCTAACAGCTGATTTTTTTAGCAGACTATCAGGCCTTTCTTCTGAGGTACCCCTGAGTGAACACTAACTCGCCAACCTTCTGGTTAGCGGTCAAGTGCATTGACAATTTGCTCTACCCAGAAAACTTTTGGATTCCTTACCACTCATCAAATCTTATTGTAAATATTCTTAGGTTTTAGATTAAGATGTCAAAGATACTGTTCTTCCCCTCCCCTGAAAAGCATGAAAGAAACCTATTCTATGATCTTAGATGAGGGTTGGCACTGTAAGTACACCATATGAATGCTGAGGAGTCTCATTTTCTGTAAAAGGAATCTCAAACAATAATTTGATAAAGTCCTTGGAGCACAAGTTCCAGATGGCCCACCTGGTCTGCACAGGTCTCCATGCTGTTCCTTCTCACTCGCATAGACCTCCATGCACCAAGCATGGTATGCAAATGAGAAGAGATCTTCTATCTTGGAAGGTGGTCGGATCGCATTGTTCAGTCGCTTAAGCCACTCTTGACACTGTTCGAAGGTTGAGAACTGACACCTGCATAAGGCAAACAGGTATGTGTCAACCGGAAGACAGCTGGCAGTGAAGCGAAGACACCATTCAAGAGTGCCGACGTACACTAACGTGCAAACTACAGTTACGAAAGCATCAGAGATTATCACAAATTCGTTATCATTCACAGTAAAATGGAGTTCAGTAAATGTTACCCAAGAGTGCAAACTGTTAAAAAGAAGATGAATGTGTGGAAAATTTATTTGTACAGATTAATGAAATCTCTTGAGACTAATTAATGACAATTATTAAAAGAAAATGGACTTATATATGGCCCTATTTTGGTATTTATTTTCCACAATTAAAAAAAATTAATAAAATGGACATTATTCTCTTTCATGGATAGAGTTTCATTCTACTCCTAGCATATTTTACAACTCTGACTTTCAAGGAATATACTTAGAGATATAGTTTTCTGTTTTGTTGCAGTATTATCAGGCTGAATCAAAAAAATAAAACACAGTACTGCTTTTGTCCAATTAAAGAATAATTTCAAAACCTGTCTATTTACCAATTAGAACAGCAAACAACCTTTGATTCAAATTAAGATATATCATGTTGAAATTTTCAGTGGTTATTACCTACAGAAGAAAGCAATTCTGTTATCAGTTCTCATTCTCAGTACATACAACTAAAAGCTTAGAATTAATGGTGTAAAATGATATAGTGGTTGAATTATTAAAATATTTTATAAGTATAAAAGGTGTTAAATTTAAGTTACTAATAATCAGGATTTTTAAACTGTTAGTTATAGCCAAAAACTATCAAAAAGCAAGCCAAATTTCAATGTTTATCCCAAGCCATGTGGCTTGTTAATATACCAATACACTATTCTTCCCAGGAATCCAGAACATGTCAAGAGACGAGCTAGTAAACTTAAAAACACATTCATTTTGCAAAGTAAATATTATATTAAAGTTTAGATTAGACAAAGACTGTCAATAAATGCTAACTCTAGGAAGAAATCTTTATACAACACAGGACATCTGCATTATCTTAAAAGTGTTTCTCATAGACTCTTTACCAGTTGCAAGGGAAAAAAATATGGAGATTACATAAAAAAGTCAGATGGCACCTTGCAAGAGTGATCAAAATAAACAACACCAATGAGGGACAGATGCACCATTCTTTGCCTTCAGGTGTAATAAACAGAAAAAGACACATCATCATATATTTGGTATGCCAGCTAATAATCTATCAAACACTGATAAAAACTGCACCAAAAGAAGAGAGGAAAAAAGGCAGTATTCTTCAAAATTTCTGTGTCATAAAAGATTTTTTAAAAAATATTATAAAAATATTCTAGATTAAAGAAAGGTTATAAAGTCAGGGCACCTAAATGCAATAATGTGACCAAGAATGGATCCTGTGCTGAGTTAAGATAGATTAGTGGGCATCATTATTAGGTCAAATGACAAAACTGAATGTGCACTGTATGAAGTTATCATTGTCCATCTAAAATAATACAGATGATAATGATACTGTCACTATATATGAAAGTACCCCTATTCTTAGGAAATACACAGCATTAAGTATTCAGGAGTAATGAGCCTTGATTGCATAAACCAAAAACTATAAACATAATACCATTAAGTCAATTCCAACTCAGCAATCTTTTAGGGCAGAGTAGAAACCAAAGGGTTTCCAAGGTTGCTGATTTTTATGGAAGCGACTACTCCATCCTTCACCTATGATACAACCCAACAGCCAACCAATGTCTTTACCTTTCAGTCGTTGTGACAAAGAAAAACACACATAGTACACATAGACCCCACAAACCACAACATGGATCCCACAAAGGATAACACAAATGGTTCAAACGTTAGCCTTAAATTCGTATAAGCAATACCCTAAATTCTTCACATTATTTTTTCACTTTTGTATGTTTTCTGTGAATTTCAAATTACTTCCAAAAAAAAGTAAACACATTTACACACACACACACAAACCTTTGAACACAGCAAAGTATTCTAGAATAAAATATTTCAGTCTATTAGAAATTATTCAAATTTTATAAATAAACTAGCATAATTTAAAAAAATTTTAAAAAAGAAATTATTCCTCATAACAGTCAAAAAGGCTGTTTTGCTAAGTCACCAACCAATATCTTCATTTTTTAAAACAAATAAATATTTTTACATACTAAACAGCTACATACATACATACACCACATACCTGATAACTTTGCAGTCTTTGCAAGTCAAATGAAGCTGAAATATATCTCGGCATTCAACACTTTCTATAAGCTGTAATGGAACCTGCAATTAAAAAAGATGCAGTCTCCTTAAGTAAAACAGAACTGACACTGTGTTTCTTCAACAAGTCCACCAAGACTGAGTAGAAGGTTTTTAAAATGGAAAGGAGCAAAGAAAATTGCTTATTTGTCTGGATCAATAGTCAAAAAAGAAAGAAAATCACTGTCTCCAAATTAGAACCAGCACATAGTTAATGTTCTCAATCGGTTTTCAGAGGCTATAAATTGCACAGGGGTAGACAGTCCATCTTTCTTCCTCAGAGCATCTGGTGGATTCAAACTATGTTCCTCTAAGGTGGGAGCACAACTTCCTACCCACTAGGCTACCGGAGTACCCTTGAGTTAGCAGTACTCAAGTAATTTACTCCTGAGTGAACTAAGGCTCCCCTTTGTGCTTTAATCAACTATCTCAAGTCATGGCACAGCCTGAAGACTGCCAAGTGGCAGTGCCACCTCTGAGAGAAAGGAGAATTATATTCTATCTCTTAGGCATCAGACACACAAACTCATCTCTCAAAGTATGACTTCAAGTGCTGGCTGTGATGTGTGCTGACACAGAAACGGACTAGAAGCAGAGTGGTAATCCTGTACTGCCTGCAGGGGGGGAAAACCCCACAACACCCTGCAAACTGAGGTGTAAGTGGATTTTATATTTGCTTTTGCCCTAAATGGCCAAGTGACTTAGTGTCAGCAACAAAGACTTCTGAAAGAGGCTGAAGGTCTAACTACACTGCTTGTGGATTACACAAAAATTAAGGTTGAACAACAGCTGCTGGTGATATTAGCTGCTCAGCACTGCCCTACAGGCCTCAGATGGAGGGTGCAGGCCACCCTAGAGGTCAAGGAGCCTGTAACTGGCTAGGCTGGACTTGATTCTAAAGATCAGATGAGGAGCCCTGTTGACAAAGTGAAGTATGAAAAGCAGAAATTATTTCCTCCCCGCCACTCTGGTCAGCAGACTCTTTTGAACTCAGGATTATATAGAATAGTGGAGAAAGACTAGAAGAGGGAGACAGACAGGAGGCAAAACTCTCACGGGATTTCAAATCTGAGTGACATCAATATCCTCCCTTCAGCTCAACATCAATTTTGGCTTCAAAGAGCTTTCCAAACCTTCAAGAGAGAGCCTGATAAAATAATAATGGATACTCCCATTCCTTGGAAAGGGAGTAAGATCATCTGTCTCTTACACTATACAAAGTCTAGCCAAAAAAGTGGCTCTGGGAGTTTTAAGTGGCAGTTCAAATGTTGTTAAGCATGAAAAGGAGGAGATAATCTCCAAAACAAACAATAATGGGATTTTTTTAAAGAAAATATTGCCTGCATTAGCTGATCCTCAAGATACATGCGCCAGTTTTAAGAGCACACTTCTTTGTCATCCCCAGCCTACCATGCAGCTGCCAAAATCAGCAGGGAACAACCTGAACAAGGGATACAGGAATCAAAAAGTCAATTGCTTCAAATCTAGGAGAAAGAAACAGAACTGAGGCAGGGCTTAAAGAAAAAAAGAGAAGAAAAAAAATTCTATTACTCAGATAAAATGACCAGTTTTTACCGCAGGACTAAAGTCTTCTTGCTTCTAAATCTATGATCTACACAATTTTTTTATCATTGTAATAGGACTCAGTGCAAGAGAACAACTAAGAAATCTTGGCTATGTCATGAGAAAAAGGAATTTAAGGATATTCGGTTTTAAGTTTTTAATACCAAGATGTTGTGAGAGACTGCCACTGATACAGTTTAAAGTTAATCTAGTACAATCCCCTCATTGAAGGGGAGGGAAGTACTTAAGTAGAGATAAACTGTAAAAAAGGAATACAGAGATTACGAATATGGTCCGATTTGTCCTTAGGCCAGTTCTCTGTACATAAGTCTTATTGTTTTATTTTTTTCATATGTACCCCTTTTCTAGCTATCATTACCTTCCCACCCATATTCCTAAAAGGGGGAATTGTTAGACTAGCAATTGAGATCCAAACTCTAGCCCTAATACTCAGAAATTCTGTCACCTAAAGATCTAATCCCAGACCTGCTACCTGGTTTCCTTATTTGAGCAAGTGTCATCAGCTTCCTGTATGTCCTATGAACATCTATTAGCTGAACTTCAGATGATTACAATGGAACTGATTACAATTTGAATGAGAAGTGGGAAGAGGCTGGGTCACAGGGCCTACTCTCTCAGAAGTCATCTGCCTCCCTGGTTACCTCCAATTGTCTTTTCTAACAGCTAAATAATTTGGAAACCAATGCCATTAGCAGCTGCCAAGTGGGTGTGGCCAATCTATGCTGCTTTATTACAAATAATATAGTGTACATCTCTACTTTGGATTAAAGCCTGGGGACTTGTGCCCAAATTTCCAGAACAAGAATTAAAAAAACCTATCTCCCACTGTTATCCCACCAGTTCTGACAGAGAGGGACACTACCCCTACAAGACAATGGAGAAGTGGGACACAGGGGTTCAAAGGCTATCCTCTTTATGGAAGCAGACTACATCTTTCTCCCACAGAAACACCTGGTAGGTTCAAACCATCGGCCCTCTGATAATTAGTATGCCTTCTGAGCTCTTTAAAAAAGAAAACAAACCAAAAAAACCCACCTCAGAGCATATAAATAAATATTTGCTACCTGAAAGGAGTTCAACATACAAATTTTCATATATTTTAATAACACAGATATAAAGAAAGAAAATAAAAATATTGGTTCTATGCATTCAAATCAGATTTCCAATACTAGCAACTTACCAAAACAACTATGTTCAGTCACATCAGTGAATAACAGAAGACTTTAACACACATGCTCATTATCACATGCAGAGACGTTTAATAAGTAGAAGGATATAAACAAACACATACCTCTCCTCTGCTACCTTCTACCTACCTCAGTTTTATCCCCTGCAAGTGTCTAAACTGGCCCTAGAGTTTGTCTCTTTTCTAAAATGCAGGCTCCCCCTCCCCCTACTTTTCCAAAATACTATAAGCTTTCCTATTTTTTTTTCAAGGCTCTACTATTTTGTTTCTTAACTTTCCTCACATATGAGAATCCTTAACCTTTTCTCTTAACTGTTGTCATTTGCCATGAAGAAAAACCCAATATTCAATCTCAAAGCAAAGCAAATTCAAAGCAAAGAATTATATGCTCACATGCTAGTTCAATCCCTTCGTTTTATAGCCTTAAGAAAATCAGCTCAACTACATTCCATTATAAACTGGTGGTGAAGCCAAAGCCAGACTCCCTGACTGTCCTTCCTCTCACACAGACATGTATGTGCTTCCTTTCTTTCCATAAGACTGCCTGCCCTTCCTTCTGTGTGAGCTCTACTTTTTCTTTCTAAATAGCCTCTCCACCAGGGAATGTTAAGAACAAAATAGAGTATATTTAAATCAAGATTCCTTCAAGACAATCCTGCACATAGAGGAGCAAGAAATCTTAAAATCATTTTCAAATCCTTCGTTGCCTGCTGATCCAGTGTCTTGTTGTTGTTGTTATGTGCTGTGTTGTGACTCATAGCGATCCTATGTACAACAGCCCTAAACCCTGCTCTATCCCGTGCTAGTCTCACTGCCTGACACACCCATCCCAATTACCCCAGTTACTGAATCAATTTCTTCTTGCTTAATCTCACCTTTCTACATACCAGACAATTCTACCTTCCTTTACAAAATAAAGTCCAAAATTCCACCAAATACATGCTCAAACAATGCATCAAACACACTCATTGCTGTTAAAAAAAACTCCTAAATTGGTCAAAAGTTACTCATGGGCACCAAAAAAGCAGGAACTCAAAACAGCATAAGAAGAGCAGCTAAAAAGTTACATTAAGAGGCATGCGTGGTTATTAAAGGCCCACAGAATGTCAAAATGCAGAGCGAATTGTATGTCATCACACACTATTAGATTTATTTCTGAATTAGTTTTGTGTACTTATATTGTGTGTGTTATTTTTTTTAATTTTTTTCTATCATTATTTTTGTGTGTACTGTCGAATCAGATCACGACTGCCCCTCCTCCAGCAGAGCATCTTGTGGATTCAAACCGAGAACCTTCGGGATAGCTTCTTGCCACTAGGCCACCAGAGCGCACGTACGTGCGTGCGTGCGTCCGTGCGTGTGTGTGTCTCACCAGAGGAGGATCATTTCTACCTTTTTAAGTACAAACATACATTTTTACAGTCTGAATGGCAAGTGCTGATACTATATACACATTTGAAGCAAAAGTGGCAGTAAAAGAGTGAAAGCATAGCAACTAATGAGTCTAAATTTAAACTCTACCACAAACTAGGGGAAAGCTGAGCACTAAATCTTCTCATTTAAAACCCAGTCAGAGGACTAAGACCTTCACAGTCAAAGATCCAGTGAAATTCTTTCGCTGACAGTGACACACATTATCCTTCAAGCACTAACTTCAGAGTTTTCTGCAAGTACGTGCTAAGTGTATTAAGAGTTGGCAACAATAACCTATTTCTGAGGCACAGGGAATGAAGGCTTGCTATACTCCAGTTAGACAGCAGGAAAATATGAAGAAACACTAAGGAAAGATATTTCCAGCAGCAATATTTCCATCTTTTGCCGAAGAGGCATTAACAGACCAGCCTGAAAATGGAAGTTTTTATGTCCTCTTAAACACAAATGTTGATTTTACAAATTCTTTCTGGTTGAAAGTCAGAAGCCCTTTTGTTGTTTTTTAAGGTCACGCATCTATCCATTTGGTACTACGAGTCTCTGTTAACATGGAAGGGACTCATGCACAAGGGAAGCGCTTTGCTGCTTTGCAAGGTGAGCATCGGACACTCACACCAATTTGTTCCAAGCACAGGTGCAGCACCCACTTGGGATTTTCATGCTACTTACTGGGATTTCAGAAGCCATAGCTTGAGAGGCAGTCTATTAAATTACACAACAAAGATTGTTTTAAACTTTCATGGATTCCACTTGAACAACTTATTTATTTACAAATTAGTTAAGCATAAAAAATTTAAATACCTGTATATATGTCAAAAATACAGTTTGGGACAGCATAAAATGTGAACAAAGCACACTTTAAATGCTACAGATGAACTCTTCAACAGAAATGCTTTACCCTAGGAATCACAAACTTGATATTCAGTGAATGTGTGTGCATTAAAGTAATGATGCATATGGTTATCTAACTCCATACACACATTTTACTCAATGTGCTGTGAAATTAAAAGAGAACATATGATTTCAGGTGGCTATTTAAAACTTGGTGGGAACTCATTTAAACTACTGCAGGTGTTGATTTAAGCATAGAAAATGATGCCAATTGGGGTAATGGCACATGTATACAAAAACTATGGGCTTTAATGGTTCGAATGTGTTTCACTGAGAACACTCTACAGAGGGTCACTTGATCACTTAAGTTTTCTAGAAACACTTACCTGCTGAGGAAGGCAGGAAAGAAGGGACGTAAGATCAACTCTCTTAGCTCCAACCAGGACCTACTCTAGAAGGGGCCCTGGCTTCCTGGAGTAACCCCAGCTTTCAGAAACTTTACTGTATGGATTGAGAAGTTATGCAGAGAAACTCTAGTCTCTATCAATTGAAAACATTTTAAGCCACTACAATGGCAAAATAGTGAAAGCATATTTTCCGGTGCAAAATAATTATCTTGGGTTTCATATTTTACTCAAGTGTCATGCGGGTTCTATGTATCAGAAGGCTAGAATAATACCAAGAAAGTATTTTTACATGAGAAAATAGGTCAAGAATTAGAAGAATTGGTAAATTTCCTTAAGTATATGTCACAATCACATCAAGAACCAGCAATTCCAGTAACTTTAGTCATATGACTACCTCTTGAGATTTTGGTATGACAGTGTCTAAATTATCGAGCAATATCATTAATAACACATGCAAACAAGATTCTGCTGCTGAAGTAAGATTTTGCTGAAGATTATCCAAAATAACTGGAACAGCACATCAACAAAGAACAGCCAGAAGTACGGGGTTGTGGTATTAGGAATAGTGTAGCCAATGTTAGATGGATCTTGGCTGAAAGCAGGGCGTACCAGAGGAATGTCTGTCTGTGTTTCATTGATTATGCAAAGGCATTTGACTGTGTAATCACAAAAAACTGTGGCTAACTCTAAGAGGAACGGGAATTCCAAAACACTTGACCATGTTAATGCGAAACCTATACTTGGACCAGGGGGCAATCGTCAGAACAGAGCAAAGAAACACTGCATGGTTCAAAATTGGGAAAGGTGTACTCCAGATATGTGTCCTGTCTTCATAACTTTTCAATCTATATGCAGAACAGATTATCCAAGAGGCTGGGCTGTATGAGGAGAAATGTGGCATCAGGATTGGAGGAAGACTCATCAATAATCTGCGTTATGCAGATGACACAACCCTGCTTGCTGAAACTGAAGAGGACCTGAAGTGCTTGCTGCACATGCAGAAGGTCAAGGACTACAGCCTTCAATATGGATTGAGGCTCAACATCAAGAAAACAAAGGTTCTCACCACTGGGTCAACTGGTAGCATCATGATGGATGGTAAAGAGATTGAGACTGTTAACAGCTTTAGTTTTCTTGGCTCCACAGTCAACACTCTTAACATCAGCAGCCAGGAAATCAAAAGATGTATTGCAATGGGAAAGTCTGCTGTTAGAGACCTCTCTAAAGTACTGAGGAGCAATGATGTCACTCTGGAGACTAAGGTGTGCCCGATACAATGTGTGGTCACATACAATCACTTGCTATGCATTAGAGAGCTGGACAATGACTAGGGATGATAGAAGGAGAATTGATGCCTTTGAGCTGTGATGTTGGAGAAGAGCATTGAATTCAAACAGGTTTGTCCTAGAGAGGGATAAACCAGAATGCTCCCTGGAGGCAAGGATTTTGAAGCTTGTCTGACATACTTTGGACATGTTGAAAGGAGGGACCAATCCTTGGAGAGCGACATCGTGCTTGGTAATTCAGTGACTGGGGTTACTGGGGTAGGTGTGTCAAAGACAGGGAGATTGGCACCGGATAGGGTTCAGGGCTGTTGTGCAGTGGGTCCCTGAGTCGCAGGTGACTCAACAGCACATAACAACAACAACAACATAGTAGACAGGTTCACAAAGAAATACACTGTTTCAAAGTGAATGCTGTTCAGGCACCATGTCCAGCTGCAAAGAAAAAAGTCTATGAAACAGTTCAAGCAGCAAGCCAAGAAAACTGATGAGGAAGGACAGGTTAGCAAGGACAAAGTAAAAAATGGAGAAGAAATTCAAGGAGCTAAAAATGAAGACCCTAAGGAAGTAGTCCCTAGACAAAAGGTAAAATTAAGAAATCTGACAAAAAGTAAGGGTTTTTTGGTGATTAAATCAATGACAACCCTTGATTCCATTCCTATTTAAATACCTAGATTCTCTGCTATAAAACCTATATAGCTAGAATCAAGTACTGCCTTGGAGCCTGGTGTATATATAAAAGTAAACTTTTGTTTCATTTAAATAAATAAATCATACAATAGTGTGTCTTCTCTGTAATATGTCTTATGTCCTATATGTATATGTAATATGTCCTATCTATGTCTGAGACATAGATAGGAATCTTGGTTAATAATCAGAGTAAACCCACATGAGGATTCTATCAGATTTGGTCTCTCAATTCTTGCTATTCTAAATTCTGTACTACATGAAATTAAAGCAATTTAATGGGGGAGAAGGAGAAGAGTTTTAAAGCTAATAATGGGAAAATAATCCAATGTCCATTTCTAACACAATTTAACATGAATTGACTTAATATTTACTGAGTGTCATGATGCCAGAAAACTTGTTAAATCATGAAGATAAAAAAAAATAACTAAAAAACTACAAAACTGCTAGTAAAACTTAAAAAGGTATGTGCATGCTGTACAAGAAGCCAGAGGAAGGTATAATTAACTGTTAGTGAGGAAACTGAAATTGGGAAACGCTTGTGAGAGGGAGTTACTATCCTGAAATGGATTGTGAAGGACGAAGAGAAGTTCACCGGGCAGGAGAGAAGAGCCTGCAGAGGTGTGAGGCATGGCTGAATACTTGAAAGAGGCTAGTGCCACTAATACTAAGGGATAAAAGGGAAATGCAGAAAAGCAGACAGAAATGATGGCCAGACTGGGCATCACAAAAAAGCCTGACATCAGACTAAGTAATTTTATCTTCATCTCAGAAGTAGTAGAGAAAATACTAAACAAATGTTGAAGGTGGATGAATGATAGGATCCATTTTGAGTTTATTTTCCACAAGAACCAACTCACAAAAAGTATCTCAAACATATAAACTCATAAGCTAAAATACAGAGGATTGTGTGGAAAAACGCAATTATCTAAAACCTTATTATCCCCACATGCAATTTAATTACAAATGGCACTGAAAGCAGTCATGTAAATATTGAAAGAAAACAAAATTAAATTGACAGCTCAACTAATTACTACTGCTTATTATTTCTACAGTAGTCTGTGGGGATCTGCTAAGATTTTATGGAAGTTTCCACCCGTTCGTTCTCTGCTCATCACCATCAATCCAATTTCAAACAGACCAATCCAGAGCTGGTGATATATGGAAAGAACAGGATGCCACTTTCTTTGGTAAGTCTGGTGTGTATACCTGGCTGGTGGACAGAAAACTAACGTGATAGCTTGAGTCAGCTGAACAGGACTTAGGATCATAGCCCAAATATAGAAGCTCAAGAGAACTCAGGCCAGAATAGCTCCTGGTCAGAAATGTTTAATAAAGATCAACTGCAAAGAAAAACAGCAGTCACTTGAATCTCTAGACAAATCAAAGAATATAACTGAAAAATCTGGGTAATTTTTGGATTGCTGAGTAAAATGAATGTTAAGTGACAGATTTTTTTTTCAATCCTAAAAACACATGATCTGAATGGAGACATACAGTCCTGAGCTGTCAGAAGGTGACAGGACACATTTCTCTGTGCCAAGACTGAAGCGCAGAGAGCCCCAGTGCTGGCAAGTGAAGAAGGCATTCATTTGGTGCAAGCACAAGAGGTGTCCTTTGTGGGTTCTCTCTGAAGACTATTAATGATGGCAGTGCACAGCAGGCACCAGTTCCCTGAGAAGGCCCTCAGAAACGGAAAAGGGTAAATGCACTCTTGAGAACTGAGAGACTGCCTTCCTTTCCCATGGTAACATACAGTCCATTATGTAAATGAACACTGTACTTAACATCCACATGCTAATGACTAAGGAACCATATGAGCAACTTCATCTTATAATGAAAGTCTGCTCTGAGTTCAAAATATAACTCTTTATTTGATATGAAGGCCCAAGACTGTGTAGGCGGTAACTACTACACATTATGAAAGAGTAATCTACAGAGCCTTTGGCCTCTTCTAAAGTGTAATGATTAAGCATTGCCTAGTATAAACCACTCGGTGTTACTCAACAATGGATACCTCACATATCAGCTGGCAACTGCATGTATCAATTTCAATCAAATGTGAGCAATAGAACTGTTGTTAATTTAGTGTTCCTTAAACACTGAGAAAAAAGTGCCTAGCTCTCCTCACTTTATGAACATCACCACCAAGTTTTGCTCTTTTTTTTTTTTCGGTTTGGTTTGATTTTTTTTCTAATTTTTTATTTACTTTCTCTTAGAAAGAGAACAGTTGGTAACCACTTACATTTACAAGAGACTCCTTGAACTTGATGTGAAGTCTGTAGTTAGAAAGGGCAATGATGGCATCCTCAGCTCGGCCCACATACTCTGTGCTCTCTCCATGAAGTTCAAGAAAAGGAACCTTCAAAATACAAGAAGAAATCCTTCAGAGTGATGAAACAAAAAAGCAGTCTTTAAAGTCAGGTCATATGAATAGGTGATAAATCCTCCTTTACCTAAGCTTTGAAAACAGTCTTACAAGTGAGTCTGTCAGCCTCAAGAGGATAGGTGCATGAACATCAAATTTCAAATATAGCTAATCATTCAAACGGATTAAAGGAATGACAGAGAGCTGATCTCAAACAATGAACTCTTAGAAAATAGGTCTCTAAAATGAAAGATGTTTTCCCAATAGGTATTTCTACTCTGTATATGTTGTTATTGTTATGTACCATCAAGTCAGAAATGACCAATACTTAACCCTCCAACAGGTTTTCAGAGGCAGTAAATCACAAGGGAGGAGACTGCCTATCTTTCTCCTCAGACCACCTGGTGGATCTGAATCAAGTGCCTTTGGGTTGGCAGCCAGCTCCTTACCACCAGGCCACCAGAACTCCCTACTGTACACATGGTTTAAGAGGGGCAAAAAACTATGTATTATATGGGGCATTAGTACTTCAACTCATTAATTCTGTTACATTATTATGACAATATTAAAAACATACTGTATTATAATGAATCTGTAATTTACCTGAAGATTCTCATCCTCCCGGATCAGTTGCTTCCTGGGAAAGATCTGATTGGCCTGGATGCACTCAAGGCTGTGCCGAGTCTCTTCATCCTGAAAAACCCAAGATTTTAATAATTTCAAAGCTTTTACTAACCTCTATTTAGGTTTTCTGCATTTCTATTAGCATAACCACAAAGAGGTACCCGTGACCACAAAGAACAAGGAAAGGTGAGGAGAAAATGTTTACTCCCAAAAGTATCAACAAGCAGCTCTAGTAAAACATGTAAGTGGATCCAAGGAGGGAAATGGGGGAGCAGAGGGGTGAGGATGGGGGGGCGGTAGGGATTAATCATAGAGTCACACAATTTGATGAGTAGGAGGAGGGGTGAGTAAAGGAAATGAGAAAGATGTGAAAAAAAATGCAGATGAACTTTGTAAGTAAACTAGTATAAAATGAAAATTTTCTTTAAAAAAAAAAAAAAACAACAACAACAAAAAACCACCACAACAGCCAGCTAGCCCTAATGTCAAACAACAGAGCTCAACATGTTCATTTGCTAACCAAAAGGCTAGTGGTTTGTATCTACTCAGAGGTGACTCAGGAGAAATGCCTGGATATTTCTGAAAAATTAGCTGCTAAAACTATAGTATACAGTTCTATGCTGACATACAGGGGCTGCTATGAGTGGAAGTCAACTGTCTGATTAACTGGTTAATGAGAGCACATACCGATGCAAAAAAGGTCAAAGAGGTTAAGGAGCCTTCTATTAGGCACTGTGGTCTGTCAGTGCATTTCCTTTTTTCACTCTTAAATTCTTCTTTTTCAGATATATTTATCAGGTAATTTAAGAATGAAATATATGATGTCTGGTATTTGCTATAAAATAATCAAAAGGAAACAAAGAGAAGTCAATGGTTGTCCATAAATTGATGAAACTGGGTATGTGTCCTCTGAGATAAAATTATATAAAATTTCCATAGTGCAAAATTTTATAAAAATTTTCAAATAAACATAATCTTAAGAATTTACATTCTCAATGAAAACATGTACAGACTACTATTCTTAGTTTAACCTACCCTTTATTTAAAAAGAGCTCCTTTGAGTGAAAAAGATTTCAAAAAAGGAAGAAATAAATTCTAATTTAAATAGCAATTGAATAAAACTATAATTTACACTTAAAAGTAATCTTTTTGCATTATAAATTTCTATAGTATATGAAGAAACCATTTATAGTGTTTGATACATCAGTGTCGCAGTGTTTAGCATCACAGCAACCACGAGTTACCTCCGTACAGCAAATGGACAGAACAGTGATGTATTACTTAGAAGAATGTTTGACCAAAACCAATTAAAACCAGGCCTGAGGGCCGCAGATTACAATCATCCACTTTCGGCTTGGTAGCATCACTTACTATCCACTAGGCCAATAGAGCTCTCTCACTGTTGTTATTGTTGTTAAGTGCCTTTTAGTCGGTAGATGACTTACAGCGACTCTATGAATGAAACACCTGAACATTCGTATAACTTTCATCATTATCGCATCTGACACATCAGTGGTTGCTGTGATGTGTGGTTAATTGTCTTCTTTGCCAGGAGACCAGAAGAATTGGATAATACTACTATTTATGAATATTTTGATCAAAAATTCTGGAACAAATTTCTGATCAACAAGGGAGAAATACAGAACAGAATTTCAAATTCTAATGGAATCCAGATTTCCTAGAGCAACAGAGGTTGGACAGATCCCTTAAACTATGGTCCTGAAATGGTCTTTAAACCTTAAATGAAAAATAATTCCTAAAATGTTTTTAAGAATTAAACAGTAGTTTAACTTAACTAAGAAGGAAAGTATGCCTTGAACATTATGCTCTTTTAAGATCTATCTATACAGAAACAAACCAACACAGCAATTAGAAACTGGACAGAAAATTAGGAACAGTAACAGAGAAATGCCAGATGTGCAGGCTGGATTTAGAAGAGGTCACGGTATTAGGGATATTATAGCTAATGT